TACTCAGTAGGATTTCAGTCACCCACAGGCTCCCCTAAGCCAGTTCCCCTCTGAAGTGCAAAAGGGAGCCTGGCCTGGGCAGAGCCTTGGGAAGCACCGGGCCCCATCCTCTGGGGAGCAGGCAAGCCTCGCCTTTACCAAAGGGCCAACTCGGCCGGGACTGTCAGCTCCCGGCCCCCCGGGCAGCCCGCCTCCCAACTCGCAGGCAGTGGGCGCCCCCAGACAGGGCTGGCACGTGGGGTCTCCCCGAGCAGCGGCCAGGGGCGGGCTGCACCTGTCCCACCCGGGCCCCTGGCGCCCGCCCGCACGTACGGGTTCTTGGTGCTGGGCACGATGTGCGGCTCGAAGTCGGCGTAGGCGAAGGCAGGGGGCGCGCGGGCCCGCCGGTACTTCCGGCCGCCGGTGTAGGCCTGCAGCTCGGGCAGGCGGCAGGGGAGCTCGTGGCCCGTCAGAGCGCACTTCACCTGCGGGGGGCGGCGGTGAGGGGGCGGGGCAGGAGGGAGGCGGGTGGTCCTGGGGGTCCCGGGGCGCTCAGGGGGTCCCGGGGCAGTCGGGGGGCGGCGGTGGGGGGGCGGGGCAGGAGGGAGGCGGGGTGGTCCTGGGGGTCCCGGGGCGCTCAGGGGGTCCGGGGCAGTCGGGGGCGGGTGGTGAGGGGTCCCGGGGACCGGCGGTGAGGGGGGCGGGGCAGGAGGGAGGCGGGGTGGTCCTGGGGGTCCCGGAGCAGTCGGGGGGCGGGCGATGAGGGGCTGCGGGGCAGGCAGGGTAGCCATGGGGCCCGCACCTTGCGGCCGCCGGGCTGCAGGCGCAGGCTGGGGTGCTCGCGCAGGAGGGCGCGCACTTCGGGCGGCAGCTCGCTCATGGCGGGGCGGCCGGCGGACCTGGAAGCCGGGCGTCGGGGCCGGGGGCGGGGCCTGGCGGTGACCCGGAAGCAAACGCGGCCGACCCCGGAAGGGCTCGCGGGGCGATGGCGGCGGCGCGGTTGCTGGGGCAGCTGCTGCGCGCCTCGGGCGCGGGGCCGGTGAGCGGGGCGGGGGGCGGCGGGCGGGGGGAGCGGGGTGCCCGCCCCGGGCCCGGGAGCTCAGCGCCCCGGTCTCCGCAGGCCCCGGCCCGCGCGGCCCGCAGGAGCGTCCTCGTGGCCCCCTCGCGCGCAGGTGAGGACTCGCCGGTGGGACCCGGGGACGCGCCCCGCGCTGCACGGGGCGGGGCTGGGCCCGTCCCTCCTGCTGTAGCCGCGCTCTCCCTCTCCGGGGCTGCGACCCAGGCCCGCGTGTAACTCCTAGGGCTGGCCTGGAGGCCCAGCAGGCGCGGCAGCTCGGCGGCAGAGGCGCCCGCCACGAAAGCGGAGGACGACTCCTTCCTCCAGTGGTTCCTGCTGCTCATCCCTGCGACTGCCTTCGGCCTGGGGACATGGCAGGTGAGACTGGCCTCTGGCTCTTGTGGCCCGAGCCCTTGACCCGCTGCCATCTGCTTGGGCTCCTGCTGTTTCTGCAGGTGCAGCGTCGCCAGTGGAAGCTGAAGCTGATCTCAGAGCTGGAGTCCAGAATCATGGCTGAGCCTGTCCCTCTGCCCGCAGAGTGAGTGCGGGGCCGGGCCTGCGGCTGCTGGCACCGGTCAGCAGTGGGGCTGCTTCTGCGGGGGTCCTGGCCTCAGGTGGGCGGTCCTGCTGGGCTTCTGGCTGACAAGGTCGCCGTTGGGGAAACTGCCTGATAGGATAGGAAACCCTGTGGTCCTGGGTTCCAGCCTCTGCAGGGATCCCCAGGGCTGATGGCCCCTGAAGCAGGAACTCTTAGCTGGAGGGGGAGCGGGCACTGTCACGTCGTCGTGGTATTTTGGAAGTGCCCTAAGTGATGCCACTGCCCCAGAGGAACGGCTATGTTCAACAAGGTCTCCATTTAGGGGCGCAAACGGTTTTAGCCACATGGTCAAGTCCATGCAGGAGTCTCCCTTCGGCTTCTCATGAAAATGTGGACCGGTTGGCAGCACAGATCCGTTCCCACTCGGCACCCAAGGGGTCAGCTGTCCCTGTAGCGGGCACCCCAGCACCCGAGCTGTCCCCCTCATCACCCACAGCCTGAGGCCCTGAGAGGGTTTGTCTTCCTGTCAAACGGGCTTCAGCCGCACTGTCCCCTCTCCCGAGTAGCCCGATGGAGCTGAAAAACCTGGAGTACAGGCCGGTGAAGGTCAGGGGGCACTTTGACCACTCCAAGGAGCTGTACATGATGCCACGGACCATGGTGGACCCGGAGCGGGAGGCCCGGGAGGCTGGCCGGCTCTCCTCCTCGGCCCAGAGCGGTGCCTACGTCATCACCCCTTTCCACTGCGCCGGCCTGGGGTGAGTGACCCAGGGAGCCTGGCACGTGGTCAGGGCAGCTCATCTTCCCTTCTCGGCCCCCCCGCCTGGAAGACCCAGGGGAACCCAAGAACCTAGAAGGTTGGATTCCATAGTTTGATTTTGTAGCCCGGACATCAAGCTGCCTCTTCCTGTGGGCTCTGGAAAGGGAGGTGAGAACTGTCTGTCCAGTGGCCACCTCATTAAAGATGGCGCAGCATGAAGGGACAGTGACAGGAACTCTGGAGGGAGCCAGCTCAGGGAAGGTGTCCCAAGGTGCCATCTGGGCCAGACTTGGAGGGAAGAGAGCATTCCAGGGGGCAGTGCAGAGCAGCTTCCCACATGTCAGTGGACAGATTAAACCCTGGGGCCCGTCACCCACAGCCTGGTTGGGACTGGGATGGGCCCGTTGGTCTCCAGCAGGCTGCGCTGCCCGCGTCTCCCCGGGTTAGAAGAGGAGAGTGGAGGTGGGGCTGCAGCCTGAGGATGTGGGTGATGAGGGGGACAGGCTGCTGCACCCAGGCCTTCAGAGGGGAGGGAGCCTGAGCCATGCCCTGGTGGGTGTCACTGGCTGCGTGCTGCACTGTAGGCGTGGCAGGAGGAAGATGTAGGGGTGAGGGACAACCTTGGCTTCCCTCCCAGGGGTTGGTGGCTCCTACCCATCAGGACACGGGCAGAGGAAGGCCTCCCCAGTGGCACAGTCTCCACTGTCCTGGTTCAGACCCTCCCTGAATGCACAGGAGCCCCCTGATCCTCTCCAAGCATTTCCTTTCCCCGCCTGAAACCGGCTTTCCATGTAGGCTGAGCATCCTGGTGAACAGAGGGTTTGTGCCCAGGAAGAAGCTGAATCCCGACACTCGGAAGAAAGGCCAGGTAAGGGGTGAGGGGCGGGACTGTCCCCAGGAGTCACGGCTCTGGGAGCCCCCTCCACGCTGTGCCCTGAGGGACACCTCCCTTTTTTTTTAGATCCAGGGAGAAGTGGACCTGGTTGGGATGGTAAGGCTGACAGAAACCAGGAAGCCTTTTGTTCCAGAGAACAACCCAGAAAGGAACCACTGGTATTACCGGGACCTGGAGGCCATGGCCAAGCTCACAGGCACAGAGCCCATTTTCATCGACGCAGACTTCAGTAGGTGGCCGGCCAGGCCAAGAGCTGTAGTCTGTTCCTATTGTTTGCACCTTAGTGTGCTGGGCAGAGGGGGGGATGACACCTGGCCAGATACAGGGGGAAGGTCCCGTTGAGGTGACTTGAAATTGGCGAAGTTCAAAACCACAGCTGAGAGCTGGCTAGCAAGGCCCAAAGGAAGCCGCTGGCCAAAGACCAGTGCCGACACCCACTGTCTCTGCAGAGAGCACAGTTCCTGGAGGACCCATAGGAGGGCAGACCAGAGTGACCCTGCGGAACGAGCACCTGCAGTACATCATCACCTGGTGAGCCCCCACCTCAGTGCTCCCTGCCCGCCCCCTTCTGAACCGCTCCTGACACTTCCTTCCAACCCAAGGTACGGCCTCTGTGCGGCCACGTCATACCTGTGGGTTAAGAAGTTCCTGCGGTGGACTCCGGGCACGTGACAAGATGACTGATGTAACCTGTCCTGGGTCACTGAATAAATATTTCAACAAACTGGACTTATCGGTATAAATAAATCATCTACCTGAATGAGCTAGTTGCCCTGTCAATCAGAAAACTCGTGTTCGACTTTGCATACGGCTGAGCAGCAGGTGCCGACAGCTTTTTGTAAATTGACCCACACACACAGCAACTTGCACAGCAGTTAGTTCAAGGCCTGCCACCATCCCATACTTCCTTCTGACAATAAAACACCTTCACCCCAAGTGTCCAAGACGCTGGCTGAGGAGAATTTTTATTACTTTTATGTACAGAAAACAACAGTGCACACTTAGCCCAGCTTAGTGGCCAGCTCCTTAGCCTTGGCCTTCTCCAGCTTGGCGATGCGAGCCACCGACTTTGGACCCAGCACGTTGCCTCCCCAGTGGCGGCGGATCTGCAAGGACAAGAGCAGGAGTTAGTCTGGCCCTGCGGTCGGTCCCGTTGTTGGCCCGGCTCATGCGGAGCCAGGCTATTCTCTGGCCAAAGGCCTGATTCCCGCAAAGCGCTTCTCACTCACCTCATCGTATCTGTCGTTGTAGTTGGTCCGGATGGCCTCCACCAGCTTAGCCAGAGCTCCCTTGTCTTCCCTGACGAGACAGGAAATGAGGGTCAGACTCTGGCCCCTCCCAGGGAGCAGACATGGAGCCTTGTTGGCTCCAAACAGCAAGCTTTTTTGCCTCAGACAAAACATGACCACACGGCTTATTCAGGTGAAGAAATTCGTAACCATCATTGGCAAAGGTTCGGCTAAATGTATTTATTCCTTTAAGCTAGAACATTTGCGCTCAAGATAAAATCCAGAGAGAGGAAGTGAGCGGGGGCAGAGCGGAGGTGGGAGTTTGGGACGGAGCTGTGTACTTACGAGTTAACCTGTGTGAAGGCAACAGTGGTGCAGGTCTTCCTGTGGACGAGGCGGCCCAGCCTGGCCTTCCCCTTGATGATGCAGTAGGGGACCCCCATCTTCCGGCACAGGGCGGGCAGGAAGACCACCAGCTGGAAGACAGCGTTAGCTCAGCGTGCATTCTGACCAGAAGCGGGATTTAAGTTAGCTGGGTGGCAATTGCTCAGGGTTAAAAAGCTCATGTGTTTGCACTTCAAGGATGAATTCAGTGAGAAATTCACATCATTGCAAGAGCCGAAGACAAGCTGGATCCCCGTCATCCTGTCAGCACACTTTGGCCTTAGTGTCAGGCTCAGAAGTAAGCTTTCCCCGTAGGGACTGACAGAGGCCCTGTCCAGTTCAGCAGCCAGTGCCCACAAGGCCACGTACCTCGATGGGGTCCACGTCGTGCGCTATCACCACCAGCTGGGCCTTCTTGTTCTCCACCAGCGTGGTGACCGTGTTCACCCCTAGAACACAGCCAGTCTGCATGAGCGGGGCCTGGTGCTGTTCACAAAAGCACCTCTACAGGCAGGGCCCCGCGTGCCTCGGGGTTCCTCTTCAGTGACTACAGATGGAGAAGCCCACACCCGAGTCCTGACACCTGCCCGCCACCCCCACGCAGGTGACACCCATCACCTGCTCGCAGGACAGGAGGCCTCTTGGTGGGCACATCCCCTTTGCCGGCAGCTTTTTTCTCGGCCCGGGCCAGCAGCCGCTGCTTCTTTTCCTGCTTGGTCTCGGGCCTGTACTTGTGGGCCAGCTTCAGCAGCTGAGTGGCTGGGGAGAAACCACAGCTCAGGCTTGTAGGCTAAGGTTACCCGTCCTCACTTCATGTCACAAGGGTTAGTTAGGTGCGAGGTGCACTTCCGTGCACACAACCCTGCAGTCCCGCCAACTTCAGGGTCTGGAAACTAACAGGGAGCGCCGAATTTCAACAAACCGGTCCACTGCGAACTGCCCAACTCAAGACAGTAACCATGGCCTTGGGCGGGAACTCCCTCAGCGCTGGCTTGAAGCCACAGCACCTACCTGTTTGGCGGTCCAGGGCCTGGGTGAACTGGTTAATGGCAGGCGGCACTTTGAGCCGCTTGTAGAGAATAGCCCTTTGCCGCTGCAGCCGAATGTAGCGGGGCCACTTGACGAAGCGGGTGAGGTCCCTTTTGGGCTGGATGTCCTGTCCTGCGAGGCAAAGGCCAGCGCTGAGCAAGGCTCGCTCACCTGCTTCCCGTCTGGGGCTGCCAGAGCAGGTGCATCAGCGATCTTGGTGGTTCAGCGTCATCAGGTCGCAGAGCAAACGTTCTCACATCATCTGCACGGCCACCCCTCCCAGGGGGCAGGTTAGGAACGGGGCCCAGCTTACAGCTACAAAGTGGCAAAAGGAGGATCCCCATCCCTCCACGCCCACTGCTGAGGGCATCACCCGTCCAGTAAGGCCGCTTTTGGCTGGCAGCCCTGCGTTCCGCCCCCCTTCTCACTCACCAATGCCGAAGTTCTTGGGCCTCTTCTCAAACAGGGGGTTGACCACCTTCTTGGCCTCCTGCTTCTTCACGACAGCAGGGGCCGGAGCCACCTTCTTCCCCTTGGCCTTCTTCCCCTTCGGCTGGGCAGAAGAAAGCCGGGTAAGCCTCCGCCCCAGGAGCTCCTCCGGAGGCGCCGGGCTCGGGCTGGCCGGACCCCCCGGGGCGGGGCGGGGCCCCCGACTCACGCCCAGGCGGCGCGGCGGCGAGCCCGGCCCCCGGCTCGTGCATCAGCGATCTTGGTGGTTGGGACGTCCTCACCATTGCTCAGATAGCAAATATTCTTTCACATCATCTGCACGAGCCGCCCGGCGCTGCCCCAAGGCTGAGGCCAGAGCTTTAGGATGCGGACAGCCGAGACTGCCCCGTCCCACAGCGCTGCACCCCCAACACGGGGACAGCGGTCCCCTCAGGAGTCCGCCTCCAGAAACAAAGACAGACTCAGAACCCCTGGGCTAAGGCCCCGCCCCGGGGCAGGCTCCAGGCCGCATCCGACGCAAGCCCCGCACTGGCAGCGCTTGCCCGGTCCTCCTCCCCCGGCCCGGACGCCGGGGAGACTATCCCGGCCCAATGCCCTCTGTGCCAGGCCCCGCGGGGCTCTCCTCGCCCCGGGCGGTGGAGGGACCCCCGCGCGACCGAGTCCCGAGGAGGATGGCAGTGGATAGAGCCCAGGCCCGGCGCCGGCATGCCGCATCACAGAAACACTCACCATCTTGGGCGACGGGAGGAGAGAGAAAGAAGAGGGAATTGTGGGAAATATGTATGCGACCCCAGAGATCGCGAGAACTGGAGCCTCCGCGGGATTTCAAATTTAAAGCGACAGTACTCCTTCCGCCGACCCTTCGGTAGGGGGCGGTGCCTAGAGCAGGAGGGGTGGGTCTGTGAGATCGGAAGGGGCGTGGGTATGGCGGCGGGACACTCCGATTGCTGAGAGGCGCCAGGGAGCCGGCCCTTCCCCGCGGGGGCGCTTGCCCGTCCTCGAGTCCATCCTGACCAGGTGCCCGCCGGGCCCGAGGTCTGCAGACAAGGTGCGGGCGGTGGAGTGGCGGGGCGGGGCCGCCGCGTGCTGAACCCCAGAATGGCGCCGAGACCGCGGCTTGGGTCCTTTGGCCGAGCGCTGGGCGCAGGGAGGGAGGGTGGTCCCGACGAGACCCCGGAAGGTGGGGGGGCTGCGGGGCCTGGCCTAGACCTGGGGGACGGACGGGGTTGAGTCGGATCCGCTGGGGAAAGAGGCGGGCAGCGATGGGGCGGGCAGGGGCGCTCCTGCAGGCCTCTGGAGGACGTGTGTGGCCGGCCCGGGAGAAGCCTGGGCTGGACCCGGACAGGGTGTTGCGGGCTTGCCCAGGGTCCTGGGATGAGCTCTCCCCGCAGCGCGGTGTGCGAGTGGTTGCACGAGTTCGTTTGGCAGGAAGGGAATCCCCGGAGAGCTGCACGTTCTCTGGGCCAAGGAGGGTGGGCGACTGGGGATGGCTCTGCCTACATCAGACTCCGGCCCCAGGTGCTGCCTGAACGAACGGAGGCCCCGCCATGGCCCAGCAGAGAGCCCTGCCCCAGAGCAAGGAGACGCTGCTGCAGTCCTACAACAAGCGGCTCAAGGACGACATCAAGTCCATCATGGACAACTTCACCGAGATCATCAAGACCGCCAAGGTGGGTGGGGCCGCCGTCTGCACCTGCTGGAAGGGACAGCGAGCCCAGGACCGCCCTGCTCTGGTCCCTTGGTCACAGAGCACCCAGGCCAGGGGGATACAGCTGCAGGGGGGCGGTTGGGGGCTGGACGATGACAGGTCAGCAGACACACAGGTCCCCTTGAGGCAGCTGTAGGGGACTCCCATCCGGATTGCCAGGCTCAGCCCCAGCGGCAGGGGCGGCGAAGGTTGGGCAGGGACTTGGTTTCTCAGTGCTTTGGTGTCCGAGTCCTGGGGCCTGGTGAGGACTGGATGGGTTGGTCTGTGCAGAGTGGTTACCCCGGGCATGGCAGCTACTTCCAAGGACTGCCACGGGGAAGGGGAGCTGGGGAGGCCCCTCGATGGGGGGGTGAGCCGTCAGCGATGGGCTCCGTCGGCTGCATCTTTGCATGACCTTTGCGGATCTGGGGACTCGAGTCCTCAGGAAGGTGAGAGCCAGCATCGCTCAGTGCTCTGCATGTCAGACTGTGTCCGGGGGGTTACTGTCCCATTTAATCCTCACAAGACCTTTTGAAGCAAGTGCCATTGTCCTCTCCATTTCCAGGGGAGGAAACAGGCTCAGAGAATTTAGTAACTTGCCCAAGACCATTCTGCTAATAACTGGCAGAGCCAGGAGGTCTGGCCCCTAGCCCTGACGCCAGCCCGCACCCTGGCAATGCCCCTGGGAAGCCCTGTGCAGTGGATGGGTGGATGGGGGCAGTTAATACCCTGGACTGGCTCCTCGTTTACCGTCTGAGACACACTGAGCAGCTCACTTCCTGTCCCGCCTCAGGTTTGCCCACCTGCAATCTAGAGGTGGCTGTCCAGGCTTCTGTGAGGAATTTTTTAAACTTACACTATTTTATTTTATTTTTCCCTCACCTGAGGGTATTTTTTCCATTGACTTTTAGAGAGAGTGGGAGGGAGAGAGACAAATATTAATATGAGAGACACGTTGGTTGGTTGCCTCAGGATTGAGCTTGCAATCGAGGTACATGCCCTTGACTGGAATTGAACCCAGGACTCTTCCGTCGGAGGGCCGATGCTCTATCCCTTGAGCCAGGTCAGCCAGGGTCAAGGGCTGAACACGGAGCCTGGCACCCAGGAACTGCTCCGTAAACGGTCAGTTTAAAAGGTCCTTATTGCCCTGGCTAGGGCAGCTCAGTGGGAGCATCGTCCTATGGACCCCAGTTTGATTCATGGTCAGGGCACATGCCCGGGTGGTGAGGTTTGGTCCCCGTGAGGTGTGTGAGGGGCAACCGGCGGATGTTTCTCTCTCCCTCTGAAATCAATAACAAGGTATTTTAAAAAAATCATTCTCTTTACTATCTGTCCCGTTTACTGAGTGCCCGAGCTGGTGACAGTGTCTGCACGGAGCAGGGCTCCAGGCTCCACCCCCCAAAAGGCGTGACAGGCCCTCCCTGCGCCTGGCGCGCAGTCAGCCTGCAGGCTCCCATCTGTCCTCTCCTTGGAGCGTGCTGTGCAGCCGCTGGGCCTGTAACAGAGACGTCCCTGTCTGTCCTAGATCGAGGACGAGACGCAGGTGTCCCGGGCCACTCAAGGCGAGCAGGACAACTACGAGATGCATGTACGCGCTGCCAACATCGTAAGTCACCAGGTGCCGGGCCGGCCCGGGCTCCAGCCCGGGGTCCCGGTGTGGTCTCCTGGGAGGAGGGCTGTCCGTGCAGCGTGAGGGGCGGGCTGTGCGGTGCCTGGGAAGGGTCGGCTCTTCCTGTTGACGAGAAAGCTCCCTGGATTCGTCATGAGAGCAGAGGCGAACGGGACCTGCGTGTGGTCCCTTCTGACGTCACAGAACAAGCACACCAGTCATTTTAGTAGGTGTGTGCCCACGGGTGAGAACACAGGAAAAGCTCCCACAGGAGCCCCCAGCTGGCGGGGAGCTGCCCTCGGGAGCCTGGGGTTCTGAGGCGGAATGTGCTTGCACAACCTGTGTGATGAGATCGCACCGCCAGCTCCGTGCCAGGGGCCCAGCGGGGTGGGGGTGGGAGCTGGTGCCACCTGCCGTCTCCCCGGGGCCGCAGTCGGGGTGCAGGGCGCTGTGGGCCCTGCCCTCGGAGCTTACCTCCTGGCTCTCCTCCTCACAGTGGCCCTGAGGTCAGGGCCGTAGCCCCACTTTGCCGATGGAAACGGAGGCCATGGCTTGCCGGCATCCCGCCCGGGGAGACGGTGCCGCCGCGCCCTCACCGGCCTGCTCTGGCCGTCCCGCAGGTCCGAGCCGGCGAGTCCCTGATGAAGCTGGTGTCCGACCTCAAGCAGTTCCTGATCCTGAACGACTTCCCATCGGTGAACGAGGCCATCGACCAGCGCAACCAGCAGCTCCGGGCGCTGCAGGACGAGTGCGACCGCAAGCTCACCGCGCTGCGAGACGAGGTCTCCATCGACCTCTACGAGCTGGAGGAGGAGTACTACTCGTCCAGGTACCGATAGGCTGCACCGGCCGGGCCGCGGCCCCAGGCTCGTTTCCGAACCCTGCCTGGTCCCAGCAGAGCCCGGGCCGGTGTCAGCACACCTACCGGTCAGAGCGTGCGACCAACAGACACTTCCCGCCCACCGGGCCCTGGGCCCTGGGGCGAAACTCAGAACTTCCAGGCTCGGGAGGCCAGCGCCAGCCCGGGCCCCTGCCTCTCTTTGGACCTGCCTGTCTGAGGCGGGGCTGGTTCCATGTGGGCATCACCCGGCGCCCACGCTGTGCGGGTGCGGGGTCCTGGGAAGGAGGGGGGGAAATCCCAAGGAGCGGGGGCTCAGCCTTGTCCCCAGAGCCCCCTCCACGCCAGCCAGGCAGTGCGCAGGGATACAGCGTGGGCGGCCCGTCACCCAGCCCCTGTGGGATCCTGAGACCTGAGGCCTTTGGGAAACCTTAGTCCTCGTGTAACTGCGGGGAACCGAGCCGGGGAGCCTTGTCCTCAGTTCCCATTAGCCCGTCCGCAGACATGCAGCCGGGCCCTGGCGCCCCCCCAGAGCGGTCCCTCCCGGGCAGGTTCCCAACGCTCCTGCTGCCCCGGGGGAGCCATGCAGGGGCCACGGAGGCCCAGAGCCAGCGTGCCCTGTGGTCTGGGGCGTGGTTCCCGGCCTTGGGTTCAATGTCACCTGCACGGGCCTGCCCAGCGTGGCCTCTGTGGGAAGGGACGTTATGTCACTGCCTGGCTGGAGTGGTTCTAGACTTTTCCAGAGTGTCTGGGACCCATCGGCTCAGCAGACTTCGGAGAAGTTTCCCAAGTGGGTCCCCATCTCGGGTGCTCAGACCCTGCTGGGGACATGGCCCGGTCACTGGTTTGGAGCCCGTCATCCCTACGGGCCAGGGTCTGGCCTGAGCGGCCACAGGGCAGCGATTCACCCTGCCTGCCTCCGGAGGGTGAGGCCAGGAGGAGCAGACCTGCCCAGGTCACTCAGCGGGCCTGAGTGCCAGGCTTCCACACCTGCCCGTCAGCGTCTGGCTCACCCACAGGGGTCCTGGGCCTGCCCGGTGGCCCCTCTAGCATTTAAATTCCTCCCTCCGTGAGGGATGTGTACCCTCCCTGCTTACCCCCGGCGTGCGCCACCTGAACCCCCAGTGCTCAGCCCCCTCCACCCTCCGCAGCCCCGCTCACCCAGCTCCTCGCTTGCTCGGCCGCTTTCCACCCGTTACTTTCTATTTGTCTGCCTCTCCCTCTGCTGTCCTCGGGCCACTGCTCTGTGACCAGGGAGGTTTCTGAGACTGAAAGCGGAGGGTGGAGTGAGGGAGCAGCCACAGGAGGGCAGGGCGGTCGGGAGAAGGGCCGTCAGCCCCCAGACCCCGTGAGCTGTGCTCTCCCCTGCACCCTCACCCGCCTCCACAGCGTGATGGCGGGGAGAGGGGGGCGCGTCAGGACGAACACCAGGGCCTCTGTTCCTGTCACCGTCCAGGCTCTGCCCCAGCCAAGGAAGACCCAGAAATAAGACGGGGTCTCTGCCTCAGGATTCTTGCCAAGTGTAGGAGCCGGAGCCACGGGCTCTGGATGCTGCCTGCCACTACCAGTGACGCTGGCCACGCCCCGCACAAGATGGGGTGGCAGCAGGGGCTAGGACAGCCAGGTGATTCTCAGACAGGGCGACCGACACCTGCCAGATCAGCAGAGGGACCTGCTGGGGCCACACAGACCTGCATGGGCTGGTCCCGGACAGCCCCCCGCCCTTTGGGGTTCCCATGTACCTCCCACTCAGCCAGACCTGCTTGAATGAGGGCCCACCCAGAGGGGAGAGGCAGGTGGATCCGGTCTGTTTTCTTAACTCTGCTCCTGTGTCGCTTTCCCTCCCTGGCGCCCCTCTGCCTGCTCCTGTCTCCCGGGCCTCTGGTGGTGGAAAAGCTCCAGTCTCTGCGAAGCTAACGATCTGCCTCTGTGCGAAGCTTACTGGAGGCTGGACCTCGACTCAGACGCTGCCGATGGCCTCACGGCCCCGCTGCGGGCCTCCCCAGAGCCCAGCGCTGGCCCCCTGCAGGCCGCCGCCACCACCGCCCACTCTCACGCTAGCGGGCCTGGCCCCACAGAGCACGCCTGAGCCTCCGCTCTCCACCAGCCCCTGGGATCTTAGCAACAAAGCCTGGCGCCCAGCCTCGGCTCCCGCTGGGGAGCTGCTGTGCCTCCTTGGGAATCCCATCGGCCCAGCAGGGACAGCCCACCCAGGAGGGTGGATGGGAGCAGTCCCCCCCGTTTCCAGAGTGGCCCACTCTTCCTGGAGTCCCCTCTGTTCACTGCCCTCTGGGCTGCTGGGTGTAAGGAAGTCTAACAGCCGGCAGACAGGATGCTGGGACCGAGCCTGCTCTTAAAGTGGGAGGGGGCTCTGCGTGGCCAGCCCCAGCCAAGTCCACACCAGGCCCCAGGCAGCCACCAGGCCGCCTCGCCCCGAGTCCCTGCAGAGCTGGGGCGGGGCCTGGCTGGTTCTGCTGCACACGTTCTGGTGGTTCGCCTTTTGTGGAGACTGCTGAATAAAAACAGCACGCCTGTGGCTCTGCCTGGTTCTTCTGTGCTCACACCTGACCGCCTGGTCACCTTGACCTCCCAGTGGCTGGGGTCCTGGCTGCATACTCCCGCAGCCCAGCACCGCCTGGGATCTAGATCCTTGACAGGAATGAATGAATAAAGCGCTGAATGAATGAAACACTGCCCTGTGTTGCATGTTGTGCCACCCCGACGCCTGCACTCTGGTCCCTTCTAGTCCTCACTGCACCCAAGTCTGTTGTCACTGGCACGTCAGGGAGGAGATGACGGGGGGATGACGGGGCCACTGAGCTGGGGGGCAAAGGGCAGGAATCCCACATGGAGCCAGAGGCCCAGTGCCCTGTGCCAGGTCAGCTGAGGAAGGGGGGCCGGGGCTGCAGCCCTGGGCCCTGTCAGACATGCTCCATGGGGGAGGCCTCGTCCTGGGGTGTGGAGGAGGTAGCGAACTGCCCACCATCCCGCCTCAGGAGTGGGGGGGACACAGCTGACCCATCTCAGGTCCCAGAGACCGCGGCCAAGCAGAGGCACCAGAGCGGGTGGCTGGGGAGTTGCTCCCCTTGGCCTGTGCCCCATCGGCAGGATGGAGGCCACCTCTTCCCGCAGGGTTTTATTTTTTTTTATTTTTTCGTTCTTTTTTTTTCTTCCCGCAGCGTTTTAACTGGGGAAGTAACTTGCACTGGACCTCAAGGCGAGAGAGATTTCACCACCAGGAGTGCGGGAGGGGGGAGACGGGAGGGAGCGGCCTGCCCCAGCCCTTCCTCCGGCGCATTCCCCGCGACCGCCCTGCACACATCGACTCAGCGCCCCTGAAACTGTAAGGCCTGAAAGACCCCCGGTCCAAAGGATGAGCGGCGACCCCAAATCAAACGCAGAGCCCGAGTCTTGATGCAAAGAGCAGGAGGTTTATTCCAAGCGCTGCGCAGGGACCCACAAGCAGCAGTCCAGAAAAAGACTGCCGCTTGAGAGCCCTGAACAGAGGTTAGTTACAAGCTTTTATAGGCAGAAACCACACGCAGGTGGCCTGGGGAAATTGGCAAATTGGCCTGGGGAAATGCAAACATAAGGTTGAGATTGCAATCTCTTGGCCGTTTCCCGGGCAGTTAGAAACAGGCCTGACCTTACAAAACAAAGAATGAGGGCGCAGTGTGTGCCTTCTTCCCCCTTCCCTCCCCCGTCCGGCACCCCGAGTGCCGGGACCCGCCGGCCCCGCGTGGCGCGCAGTCCTATCCGAGCCGAGGCGGCCCGGCCAGCCTCCACCGGGGCCCGCGCCGCCTACTGCCGCCGGAGGCCACGCCCACGGGCCCTGCTCCGCCCGCGGCCCACAATGCAATGCGCCCCGCCCCGCGGCCTCTTTCGGTGGAGCCAGGCGTGTCCAATCGAGCTCCGCGTGGTGCGACTCGGCGCTCGACTGGCGGCGCCTGCGCACGTGGTGTTCGGGGCGAGCGGCGTCGCGGCAGCGACCTGGGCTGTTCGGGTCGCGCCGGCGGGGAACCGGGTGTGAGTCGCAGGGAGACCGGCCCGGACCTGGGACGCTGTCCTCGCGTGACCCGGAGCAGCACCCCGAGCCTCCGGCCATGGCCTCCCTGCTCGCCAAGGACGCCTATCTGCAGAGCCTGGCCAGGAAGATCTGCTCCCGGCCCAGCCCCGAGCCGCGCCAGCGCAAGCCGGGTAAAGCGCAGCCCGCGCGGGGCCGGGAGGCCTTCGGAAGGGGCCCCTCCCTGCGCGGCCTGCACCTCGAGGAGCTTGTGGGGCGGGGGCTAGACACGTGTGTGCGTGAAACGAGCATGTAACACACTGAAAGGAAATACAAGTGACGTTTCGTGTCCCTGGTGGGCGGGCGTGTCAGCCTGGGGTGCGCGGGTTTCAGCGCCTCTGCCCCCCAGGGTCTCCCTTGAATGGCGGTGTGATGAATGCCCTTGAGGCGAAGTCTGTGTGTGAACCCAGCACGCAGTCTCACCGCCGGGTCTCGAGTGGCACGTTGACCAGGGTTTTGATTCGTGTGGCCAGTCTAGGGAGTTTGTGTTCTGAGCTCTGCGGATAGGATCCTGGGACCCTGCATCCTGGTTCCCTTGGGCATCCTTCTGGGATCAGAGCCTGTGCAAGCCCTCCTGCCTGTTGAATGGGCCGCAGAGATGGGGTCAGCTTTGCTGTCTCGCTTTGTTTTCCAGGGGGCAAGACTCAAGGCTCGGACGCTGCCGGACCCCCAAAAAGGAAGAGGAAGCGAGCCCAGAAGAAACCCCGGGAGCAGGGGGAGCAGGCCGTGGAGTCCAAGGCCCGGGCCCAGGGGGAGAAGCCCCGGGCAGCTTCCCAGACCAGGAAGCCCCTGGCAGTCAAGCAGGAGAGGGCCTCTGGCTCCCCTGGGGTCCCTGCAGGTGAGGAGCTCCCCGCAGACACGCTCCCCTCTGGTCATAAGAAAAGGTGTCGTCAGGCACTGGGGTAACTACCGGGGACTCCCCAAAGGGCGGGCCTTCAGAGGACAGATCACAGAGGCTCTGGGGGGATGGGATCCCAGGATGTGCACGGTGGTTCCAGGCCAAATGGTGACGGGGATCTGGGTCCCAGCAAGGCTGTGAGGACCCGGAACAGCTGGGCTTCAGGGGTGTCGCTGCCTCAAGCCTCTGAAGGGGCGTCGTGAAAGCTGACGTTCAGGGGCGCACAGGCTCAGCAGCTGAAAAAACGGAAGATGGGTTTGGCCTGTAGGAAGCGTCTTATCCTAACACGGGAATGTCCTGACCCCAAGGGTGCCGGGCCCCTCCAGGCTGAGGCGGTGGTGGGACTGAGTGGGACTGCCTTGAAGGTCCATCAGCGGCCACCATGGGAGGCGGTGCGTGAGGCTCAGGCCTCGGAGCTGGGCCGGGGGCGGGGAGTCTCCCTCAGCCTTCTGGTCCCTTCCTTGCAGGCCGCCCCGCCCCGGAGCCTGACTCCCTCTTCGCGCTGGACGTGCTGCGGCAGCGGCTGCACGAGAAGATCCAGGAGGCCCGGGGCCAGGTAGGCGGGAGAACGCGGTGCGGGGAGCAGGTGGCGGCTGCAGTGCCCCCCTCTGCGGGCCCACGGGGCTCTGTCTGCCGGGAGCCTCGGTCCCCAGCGTCGCCTGCCTTTTGCCTCCGGGACGCTGCCGCCTTTGCTGAACTCAGCCGGTGGCGCTGCGGGGGTGGGGATGTCGGTGCGGCGTGGGCAGGCGGGCCGGGCTGAGGGGACCTGAACCAGCCTCCGCGTCTCTGAAGGGCACTGCTGGCCCTCACTCTGACTGGGCCACCGCTGCCCTTGTGCTGGGGACCCCCCAGGCCTCTCGCTGTGTGGGGGGCAGCGCCCACTTTCCGCACTGCCCTGGGGCCAGCCCAGAGCCGGTTCCTAGAGGTCAGTCCGCTCCAGGCCCTGCCTTCCTGCCGGGCGTCTGGGCCCTCGTGTTGGCCAGGGGGTCGGCGGGTAGGGGGTGGAGGGTGAAGGCTGTTGGGCTTGTCACAGAGCAGTGTCGTGGTCTGAGCGGACACCGGTGCCGAGGTGGCCTTGGCCCCCGGGTCTGCACAGGGGTGGACTGTACAGGGGTGGACTGGACTGGGGTGACTGCACAGGGGTGGCCGGCATCTGCGAGGCGGGTTACGGGGGGATTTGGGAAACGGAGTCTGTAAAGCTCCCTGGTCATTGCCTGGGGGTCCCCTTGTCCTGCGCGGGGGTTTCCTCCCCAGCCCCTGCCTGAGCCCCCGCGGGGCGGGGCGGGCCGGGAGTGGGGGGACAGTGACCGGCTTTCCCTCCAGGGCGGCGCCCAGGAGCTGTCCCCCGCGGCGCTGGAGAAAAGGCGGCGGCGGCGGCTGGAGCGGGACCGGAGGAAGCGGAAGCGGAGGGAGCTGAGGGCCCAGAAGAAGGCGGCCCAGGCCCCGGGGCCCGCGGAGGCTGCGGCGCCGGCCCCCGAGGCACCGGGCCCGGAGGTGGGGCAGGCGGCGCTGCTGTTCAACAAGGTGAGGCCATGAGGCCGGCGGGGGCGGTGCGGGGGCAGCGGCGGGGGCTGCGGTGACCGCGGTGACCGGGCCCTCCCCGCAGGTGGAGGCGGCGGCGGAGGAGGAGGCGGCGGCGGCGGCGGGCGGCCCGGCCCAGCGGCGGCGGAGGCTGCGGGGCCCGGCGCCGCTCACGGGCAGGAACTACCGGCAGCTGCTGGAGCGGCTGGCGGCGCGGCGGGCGCGGCTGGCGGCGCTGCGGGAGCGGGACGAGGCGGCGGCGCGGGCGCAGGAGGACCGGGCGCGCTGGGCCTCCGCCCTGCACCGCGCCGAGGGCGTGCGCGTCCGCGACGACGAGCGGCTGCTGCGGGCCGCGCTGCAGCGCAAGGAGCGGCGGCGGGCGCAGCGGCGGCGGCGCTGGGAGCGGCGCGCGGCGCACGTGGTGGGGACGATGCAGCGGCGGCAGGAGCTGCGCCGCCGGCACCTGCGCCGGAGGCGGGCGGCCCGGGCCGAGCGGCGCCTGGACAAGGCCCGCAGGAAGGGCCGCGTGCTCCCGCAGGACCTGGAGCGCGCCGGGCTGGCCTGAGGGCGCCCCGTCCGCACCCGCCCCCGTGCGGGCCCCGCCGCTGGGAACAGGACCCGGACCCCGGGGAGGGCGAACCAGTGGGCGCCCGCCTTCTCTTGTGAAACCGGGGAGCTCCCCCACCCCCCGGGGGTGGGGTTCAGGCCGAGGAGAGCAGTGTGGAGGCCCGGGGACTTGGGGCGCTGGGTACCCCCATCCCTGCCGCGGCCCCGGAGCAGGAAGGAGGCCTGGTGGCCGCCCGCTCAGTCTAAACTCACTTGGGAGACAAACGCCCAGCGCCTGTGGCCCCCCCAGATGGAGCTGCCGGCGGGTCCCGGGGAGCGGAGGGGTGGCCCCAGGCGGGACTGGAGTGGGGTGGCTGAGTTTACCTGTAAGGTGACCGTATGCACGTTAAGAGCCCTGGGAGGGAGGTGGGCTGAAGGCGGTGGAACAGCCCAAGCCCGCAGGCGGGGGCATGAGTGCAAGTGGAGAAACTCGGTGGGTTTGGTGGGAATGTGGATTCTATTCCGGTGAAGCTGTTAATAAATTCTTTTTTTATATATATTTTATTGATTCTTTACAGAGAGGAAAGGAGAGAGAGAAACATGGGTCAGCTGCCTCCTGCACACCTCCTACTGGGGATGTGCCCGCAACCAAGGTACATGCCCTTGACCGGAATCGAACCCCGGACCTTTCAGTCCTCAGGCTGACTGGTTTCGGCGATAAATTCTTTTGACAAAACCCCAGCGATGAGCTGTGACTGAGGGAAGCTAGGTGGCGGTGCCATTGGACAGGACTCGGGCGGAAAGCGCCTTGAGGGGTGAAGGCTCGCGGTGCCAAAGGGGGTTCCGCCAGCAGCCCCAACCTGGGCCTGTACAGCTTCCGGCTGCTGAGCAACAACCGCAGGGAGACCACCGTTCTCGGAGGAGAGTTTAACATCTCTTAGGAGTTCGTTCCCGGCAGACAAAGCCGGTGGGTGCGAGCCGTCTGGTGGCCAGTTCGCGGGTGTGCTCACAGTGGATGGAGACCTCCCTGCCAGGAACTGCTGGGAGCCCACCCCCTTGCGTTCCCAAGGGTGCCTGCAGACAGTGTGGCCTGGCCGTAGCACAATTCCCTTTAAAAATGTAAGAGCCGCCCTAGCCAGCTCGGCTCAGTGGATAGATCGGACTAAAGGGTCCCGGGTTCCTTTCTGGCAAGAGCGTGTATTTATTTCAGTTTCAGGCTCCCCCCTGGTCAGGCTGCGCACAGGAGTCAACCAATCAATGTAATCTGTGTTCCTCTCACATCGTTTCTGTCTTTCCCTCTCTGTTCCACTCTCTAAAAACCAATGGGAAAATATCCTCCGGTGAGGACTGAAAAGTGAGTTCACTGTTGTCCAGCTGGCATGGCTCAGTGGTATGAACCAGGAGATCATGGTTCGATTCCCGGTCGGGGCACCTGCCCAGTTTGTGGGCTCGATCCCCAATGTGGGGCCTGCCGGAGGCAGCCAATCAGTGATTCTCGTCATTGATGTTTCTCTCCCTCTCCCTCTCTGAAATGAATAAAAATACATTTTAAAAGAAAGAAAAGGACGCCCTGGCTGGTGTGGCTCAGTGGATAGAGCGTCGGCCTGCAGACTGAAGGGGCCTGGGTTCAATTCCAGTTAAAGGCACAGGCCCCTAGCAGGCTCGATTCCCAGTGGGGGACTTGCAAGAGGCAGCCAATCCATGATTCTCATCATGGATGTCTCTCCTTTCCTCTCTAAAGTCAATAAAAAATATATGTTTTTTTAAAAAGAAAGGAAAGGAGAAAAGGGGGTTTCCTCATCTTTATAGATATGAATAAATGGTATCATTTGAAGATGAAAATTCAAGTAATGGCGTAAGTTTATTCAGAGTAAACATTTTAGACACAAATTGATTATATTGGGTTGGGTGGGAAAAGAAGTACAAAGGAAGGCCGAAACCGGTTTGGCTCAGTGGTAGAGCATCGGTCTGCGGACTGAAAGGTCCCAGGTTCGATTCCGGTCAAAGGCATGTACATTGGTTGCGGGCACATCCCCGGTAGGGGATGTGCAAGAGACAGCTGGTCGATGTTTCTCTCTCATCGACATTTCTAGCTCTCTCCCTCTCTATAAAAAAATCAATAAAATATATTTTAAAAAAAAAGTACAGAGGAGGAATTAGCCAAGCTTATAACTCATGATAGGGCATTAACAGATGACATTGTTTAAAACATTCATCGGCAAACTCATTAGTCAGCCATATCAACAGAACGATTGAAGTTTCTTCTGAGCCACATTTTTTTAAACTTCCAACACCACTTCTGCAAAATAGACTCGCCCAGGCCGTGGTATTTTGTGGAAGAGCCACACTCAAGGGGCCAAAGAGCCACCTGTGGCTCGAGAGTCGCAGTTCGCCAACTCTAAAGGGTGAAAGGTATTACATGAAGTTATGACTAAAAGTTTTCCAAATCTTACTGAAGGGAGAAAGAGAAAAACAATTGGCTGCCTCCTGCACGGCCCCCACCGGGGCGGGAACCTGGAACCCGGGTGTGTGCCCTGTCCGGTGATCGAACCGGTGACCTTTTGGTGCGTGGGTCCGTGCTCATCTACTGACCCACACCACCTGCCAGGCTAAAGTCAGACCTTTCGAATTATTGAGGGGAAAAACAAGCCACACCGGGTAAGGTCCTGCTCAGCTATAGAAGCAAAAAATACCAATATCACTGAACTAAGAGCGACCATATCTTCCAGCTGCGACTGCAAATGTCTTGTGTGTGAGGGGCGCGGCCACAGCATTGGGACGGGTTCAGGCCTCGGGCTGACGAGGGCACAGTCCTTCCGGCCACGTGCAAGGCCCAGCGTGGAGGGCGGAGCTCCCAGCACCGTGGTGGCCACCAGCTGTGGTTGTGAGCGTGAGCCTGTGGTCCGAACACGTGGCCCCGCTGCCTGAGCGAGAGGCCGCAGGTGAACAGCTGGGTCAGGTGGTGAGTGGAGTGAAACCCAGAGAAGCTGTGACATCTGACCCGCCCCCACTGTGCCGCGGGGCAGCGGCTGTGAAATAGACTCATGTGAGCGTCTCTCCATGAGGAGCACGTCCCACCGAGACCAGCTTCGTCCTCGTGTCCTTTCTACGCCTTTCACCCCCCGCTCGGGCTCACCTTGGCCGCGGCTGTTGGAGCTGGCGCTGTGACGGCCACGTCCGGGTGCTCCTGTCACCCAGCCAGAGGCCCAGCGGGCCACGTGCGTGTCTGCCGGCGGCTCCTCTGGGCCCGCTCCTTCCTTGGGCACCCCGTCCTCCGCCCCCTCGTCCCCCCAACCCCAGAGGCCCCTTCCAGGGCGTCCGGCCCACAGTGAGCTGAGACGGGACCTGGGACCCACCACTCGGGTCAGAGGGGGCAAAGGCTCGGGGCCTTTCCTCCCAGGGCCCAGCCACAGGGGGAAGCGACACCCAGAGGCTGAGCCCTCCCCCCCCCCGCCCGGAGGTGCGGTGCGGGAGGAGCCTGGGCCCCGGGTCCTGGGAGGAGGCGCAGCCTGGCCCTCAGCAGCCACCCTGCCCGCCAGCCTCTCCCACGGGGTCTCACACTCATGCCGCCCGCTGTGTTTCAGGATACTGTACCCGCAGCCCAGGGTGCTGACGCCCTCGTGAGTAACCCATCGCACTCCCCCCGCTCCCCACATCCCAGCGGGCGGTGCCACCCACGTCGCCCCGGGACTGGCTCTGCCGCTCCATGCCGTCTGGTCGGCCTGGGCTCCGAGCCCGGACCACAGAGTCCCTCCTCCCCTGCGCTGCGCTCCTGTCCTCTGTCTCACAGACAGCGGGGTGGGGGGGGGGGGGCTGCCACAGGGGCCCTCCGCCGGCCAGTCCGGGCCCGGCCTCAGGCTGCAGGGCGGTAAGGGCTCTGCCCGTTCGCCCGGGGCTGGCACCGGCAGGATCTTGCAGGTGCCCGGTCCTCGGAAGGACGGTCCGCCCGGGGCGGAGGGCCTGGGCCAGCGGGGTCCCCGGGGGGCGGGGCGCAGGCTGAGGGCCCTCGCTCAGCGGCCTGGGCTCCGCTGCAGGAGGAACGACGTCCTCGTCCTGACCCCGTGGCTGGCGCCCGTCATCTGGGAGGGCACCTTCAACATCGCCCTCCTGAACGAGCAGTTCCGGCTGCAGAACCTCACGGTGGGGCTCACCGTGTTCGCCATCAAGAAGTAAGGGGCCAAAACCGGTGTGGCTCAGTGGTAGAACGTCAGTCTGCGGACTGAAAGGTCCTGGGTTCGATTCCGGTCAGGGGCATGTACGTTGGTTGCGGACACATCCCCAGTAGGGGGTATGCAAGAGGCAGCTGGTCGATGTTTCTCTCTCATCGACATTTCTAGCTCTCTCCCTTCCTCTCTGTAAAAAATCAATTAAAAAAAAAATTTAAAAAAGAAGGGGGCGGGGGTGGGGGTGGCTTCCTACTCAGGGGGGCGGCGGGTGGAGCGGCAGGCCCCTCAGGGTCTGTCCTTGTGCCCAGGGCTGATGGGATGGGGTCGGCCAGGAGATGGGGACCTGGGGGGTGAGGACTCTCCCGGAGTCCAGCATAGGCGGGACCCAGCTCCGCCGCTCCTCACCGAGGCTCCTGCTCCAGCCCCGGAGCCTCAGGCCCTCCTCCCTAAGATGGGGTGCTGCCGGCCCCCCATCTCTGGGAACGGAGGACGAGGGAGGCCAAGGCTTCCCGCTCAGGGGGGTGGGTCCCCTGAGGAGGGTGCACGGGCCCCGCCCCTCCTTGCCCCTCTGCCCTTCTCCTGCCCAAGTACGTAGCTTACATCCCCTGGGACCAGGGCGACTTTTACTACCTCGGGGGCCTCTTCGGCGGGTCGGTGTCCGAGGTTCACCGGCTCACCACGGCCTGTCACCAGGCCATGTCGGCCGACCGCGCCAACGGCATCGAGGCCGTCTGGCAGGACGAGAGCCACCTGAACCGCTACCTGCTGGACCACAAGCCCACCAAGGTGCTGTCCCCGGAGTACCTGTGGGACGAGCAGCTGCTGGGCCGGCCGGCCGTCCTGAGGAAGCTGAGGTTCGTGGCCGTGCCCAAGGACCACCAGCAGATCCGCAACTGAGGGCGGGAAGGGCTGGGGCCACGCTCCCTCTGGCCCCAGATTGGAGCCTTGATGGCCCCCGCGCTTCCCTCTTCTGTCCTTGGGGGGAGACTGTGGATGCCTGGCACCGCCCCAACCCCCAAATATAGGCTGTGGGTACCTCCGCCCTGTCCCCACCTCGCTCAGGCATACAGGAGACAGGCCCATCCCCTGGGCATCCATCCGCTCCCACTGGGCGCTCCTGGGGCCCTTCAGCTCAGGTGAGGCAGGGGGCCCGGCCCCTGACAGAGGGGGGCCCAGATGAAGTCGCTCCCAGGGAGGGCATGGGCTCCTACCACAGTCCCAGGGCCCCGGGCACTGCTCGAGGCCAGTCCCTTCCCTTCCTGAGTCCTCCCAGAGCTGAGTGGCGCCTTCAGTGCGCAGGCCCAGGTGGAGGGGAGGAGGCCCAGGAGGAGGGGAGGAGGCCCAGGAGCAGGGGAGGAGGCCCAGGAGGAGGGGAGGAGGGAAGGAGGCCCAGGTGGAGGGGAGGAGGCCCAGGAGGAGGGGAGGAGGCCCAGGAGCCAGGGGAGGAGGCCCGGGTGCAGGGGAGGAGGCCCAGGAGGAGGGGAGGAGGCCCAGGAGGAGGGGAGGAGGCCCAGGAGCAGGGAAGGAGCCCAGGAGCAGGGGAGGAGGCCCAGGAGCAGGGGAGGAGGCCCAGGTGCCAGTGAGGCCTGATTCCGACTCTCTTGGCAGCCGCCTGGCTGCCCATCGGGCCCAAGGCACTGTCACTGCCACTGGGAGCAGGGCGGCCTGAGTTCACGGGGGCAGGGGAGGGGGCCCGAGCACAGGGCGTTGCCAATTGTCAGGAAAACTGCCTCTTGCTCCAGAGGACGTCTGTGCCCCCAGGGGGCCCCCTCGGTGTGAAATGCTGGGGCTCTTGGCCCCACTTGGCTAAGGTGACCAGACATCCCGATTTTTAACAATTTGTCCCGCGATAAAATCGGGACTTTTTAAAAACGCAGTGGGACAAATTGTTAAAAATCGGGACTTTTCTGCCAAAAGCGGGACGTCTGGTCACCTTACGCTTGGCCCCTCTCCTGGGCGGGGACAGGGCAGGCACCCATTGGCAGAGGCCTTTGTCCTCGGGTCTGTGCTGTCGGATGCCCGGGTGCTTCGCAGCGGGAAAGGCTCTGTCTCAGGGTGTCTCACTACCCCACCCACTACCATGAAGCTCGGCCCCTCCCTGAGCCTGTGTGAGCCGGGCACAGCTCGGTCCCTCGGGAGGGGGTCTCCAGGGTCTGTCAGCCTCGGCTGGCTTACAGAGGGGCCTTCGTCAGCCCTGCTCCTCCTCCCTCCGCTCCGGTGTCAGCCCCAGGCTCCCAGGGCTCAATGGGACCCCCACAGGCGTGCTGGCGTTGGACTGAGAAGCTCCCCCTAGCGGCCAGTCCTCAATAAGGGAGGTGGGAGGTCGCAGAGCTCCCTTCAGCTCCGCTCCGGAATCCTGATCGGGGACACAGACAAGGCCCACGGCAGGAGGGCGCACTGGCCGTGCCCACCGCCTGGGAAACGAGCTTCCGGAAGAGCACACGCCCAGAGCCCCCCCTCACACACACCCACGCCTGACACCCACAAGTGCACACGCAAACACGTACACACACAGGCACCCTGGGCGCAGAACACAGCGACTCACGTGCACACACAGGTAAGGACTGGGACTGCCTGAAACCGATCACGGTCTCACTACGGGGAAGATGTAAAAGGCCGGTCAACCTTGAAGCTCTGAAAGGGCAGAGCCAACCACTCCCTGTCTGATTGAGACAATGGTAACTGAGGCAACTTCCCCACCAAATAGTCACCTAAATCCTTCCTGATGGGATAATCCGACCATCACCTGCTTAAGGGCCATGGGTGTGTCCCACAGTCTCCATAAAAGGGATGGCAAGGCCAGAGCCTAGAGCCGTCCCCCCACTAGAGGTGGGCTCCCGCTGCCCCCCCCCCCCCATATCGCCAAATTAATTTTTTAAAAATTTCTTCTAGTCTCTAATTTCCATGCAGCCCTTCTCCAGAACACAAACCCTGAGCCACGCAGGACGTGAAAGGGGTTCCCGTAGGGACAGTGGGCACCCCGTCGCGGCTCTCCTCCCCAGAGGGACCTTGCTCTGTCCTCAGTTCAGGGTTCCTTATTGCACTCACAAATGCTTGTCCTTGAACAAGTCAAAGCTAGCCCAGCCAGGCCGGCGGGGCTCAGTGGTGGAGCATTGACCTGTGAACCGGGTTCACGGTTCTATTCCTGGTTGGGGGATGAGCCTGGGCTGCTAGATCCCCAGAGTGGAGTGTATAGGAGGCAGGCGATCCATGATTCTCGCTCACCATCGATATTTCTATCCTTCTCTTCCTTCCCCTCTGAAATCAATGAAATTAAAAAAACAAAACACCACCAAAACCGGTTTGGCTCAGTGGATAGGGCATCGGCCTGCGGACTGGGGTGGGATCACGGGTTCGATTCCGCTCAAGGGCACATATCTTGGCTGTGGGCACATCCCCAGTGCGGGGTGTGGAGGCAGCTGATTGATGCTTCTCTCTCATCAATGTTTCTAACTCTCTGTCCCTCTCCCTTCCTCTCTGTGAAAAATCAAAATATATTTAAGAAAAACAAAACGCTAGCCCAGCTGGTGTGGCTCAGTGAGTGTGGATTATGAACCGGGTAATGGTTTGGTTCCTGGTTGGGCCACATTCCAGGTGTGGGAACCCAAGAAGGGGGCATGCAGGAGGCAACTGGCCAGTGTTTCTCACGGATACTTCTGTCTTCCTTCCCTCTCTCTGAAATCAATAAAAAATACATTTTAAAAAGTGAAAGCTAGATAATGTACTTTCCTTCCTAGATGACCAATACACAGAGAACACTGAACACGTGTCTTTACTATTTCAGATACAAGTCACAGTAATTGCAAAAACTTGGACAAGGAGATAAGAGATTTGCAAGTCCCGCCCCAGAGGGGACCATTGTTGAAGGGAGAAGAGACCAAATTCTAAAGTTAACTATTTACAAGAAGGAAGCTTGAGCTGGCAAAGTCACCAAGTCTGCCCAGCAAGCTCAAAAACTAAATGAATCTTATTTCAGACACCTTTTCAGATTAGGTTGAAGCATAGGATAGAAACTGCCTCTGTAGTAGTCAAGAAATTACTCCAGGAGATTATACCTAGATTCGAGCTGCCAGTAGTCATAGGATCAGATAACAGCCCAGTCTTTGTAGCAAGGTATCTCAGAGTATAGCTCAAGCCTTAGGACAGGCCTGAGTGGAACTCTAAAAAGTTTAAGTTTGTCCTGGAAACGGGTGAAAATTGGACCAACCCCCTGCCCTTCGCCCTATTATGGGCCAGGTGTATCTCCTACGGGGATGGGTCCCCCCCATTTTTCTTGAGATCATGTATGGTAGACCTCCTCTCCTTCCTTCCCAGGGTCAGGAAGAAACTGAAAGCTAGAATTCATAACCATTCCCTGCTCAAGTCCTTACAGGCGCTGCAATTTATCCAGAAGCCACCCATAAGCTTGTTCCAGATGCACTGCCAGTGCCCCCCGTGGACCCTGTACACCCCTTCCAGCCCGGAGACTCTGTGGGTAAAGAAGTTCACTGTCCAAGGACTCACCCCAACCTGAAAGGGACGCTACACTGTTGTCCTGAGCACGCCCACAGCTGTTGAAGTAGACGGCACCCAGACCTGGCTACACCACTCCCAGCTCCTGCACAGAAAACAACCTGGATCCTGGCAACCAGCGGCCTCACCCGCAAGATCCCTAGCCTGGCCTAGGAGGAGACTTGATGCCTGCAGGAGGGGAACTGGACTTCAGTGAGGACAGTACTAATGGGAACTGTGGTACTGGAGGTTTTGGTAACTGTAAGAACTTTTTTGCTAGCCAGTGAGAAAGTCCGGGGCTAAGTAAAGCTACATGTGCAAAGGAATGGGAGAGTAGAAAGAGAAGAACAACAGGGGTGGTTTGAAGGGCTATTTAATTGGTCACCTTGGCTGACGACCCTGATATCCGCCCTGGCAGGACCTGTTCTTCTACTTCTTCTAGGCTTAACATGTGGGCCGATCATTATTAACCGCCTCTTGGCTTTTGTAAAGGATCGTGTCCAAGCCATTAAGCTCCTTGCCTTAGCATCCCAATATAGAAGAATTTCCCTAACTGATGAAACCCAGATATAAGCGTCGCTAACCGCAGACTTCTCGCTTGTGGAACAGTGCTTGCTTGCTTGCTTGCAAAAAAAGGAGGCCAAGGATTTGACCTCAGGAAAGGAACTAAAAGCAGTGGGGAATGAGGAGTAGGAAATTACTGACCTTGCCTGGAGGGTAGAAAGTTACTACTCCCTCCCCCTCCTGGACCTGAAGGCCAAGTCAACAGTCTGGGTTAGTCAAGGCTAAAAGAACAGAAAGAACCAAGAAGGGAGATTAGGCCATCTGGCCGATGCATGCAACCACAAGGTTAAGCGATATAGAAACGACCTCCACCCCCTTATTTGAAATGTGCATAAAAAGCTGGATTTGTAACTGCGGGCTGCTGTTTGCTGCCTGCTCCATCCTGGCGGCGGCAGCCCAGATTCGAATCTGTAATAAAGTTTGTAATTAGACTCCGCAATTGGCTAGTTGGAGTTGTTTCCCTGGTAGGGGTCTCTGCCTCTTGGGTGGTCTCTGCTCCATTCAACAACCATCACAAGTGATTTGTGGGCATCTCTCAGGCTCCACCTCTGTTTTGTTTTGTTTTAATATATTTTATTGATTTTACACAGAGAGGAATTGAGAGGGATAGAGAGTTAGAAACGTCGATGAGAGAGAAACATCAATCAGCTGCCTCTTGCACACTCCCTCCTGGGAATGTGCCCACAACCAAGGTAAATGCCCTTGACCAGAATCGAACCTGGGACCCTTCAGTCCGCAGGCCAAAGCTCTATCCAGTGAGCAGGTCTTGGCTCTGCCTCTCTTTCTGTTTGTCTCTGTTATACGCAGATTCTTTTACACGTGTGTCTGCCTCTTGAAATCACATGTGCATGGTCTAATGCACACGTGTCAAACACAAGGCCCGCGGGCCAAATCCGTCCCGCCAGGCCTTGCAATGTGGCCCGCACCGCGCTGTCATCACTGCACTCCGCTGCGTTTCCATCACAATGACAGTTTATGACTGTTCAGTAAACCATTCGGCCCGCGATTTAGGCTGGATTTTAGATTTTGGCCCCTTCTCTGATTGAGTTCGACACCCCTAGTAATGGATGGGATCCTGGATGCAAAAGGTTCCACGCGTCTCACCTAAGAGGACCCTGAGGTCTGTAGGTGGCACGTGGAGACCTGCACCCACGGCAGCAGCCGCTCAGCTTGCCGCGTCTGCGCGGAGCAGGATCGCCGGGTCCAATCCCTCTCCGTGGATGGTCTTCCAATTTCTGGCAAGTTCACCAGTGCTCTGATGGGTAGTCTTAAAAACATCTTTTTTGAAAAAATATTTTTTATTGATTTCAGAGAGGAAGGGAAAGGGAGAGCGGGATAGAAACCTCAATGATGAGAATCATGGATCGGCTGCCTCCTGCACACCCGACACGGCCTGTACCCTGACTGGGAATCGAACCATGCCCTCTTTTTTTTTTAATTGATTGTTTACAGAGAGGGAGAGAGAGGGATAGAGAGTTAGAAACATCAATGAGAGAGAATCACTGATCAGCTGCCTCCTGCACACCCCCCACTGGGATGTGCCTATAACCAAGCTACATGCCCCTGACGGGAATCGAACCCGGGATCCCTAAGTCCGCAGGCTGACACTCTATCCACTGAGCAGAACCCGTTTTGGCGAATCATGACCTCTTGCTTCATAGGTGGACGCTCACAAATACATGTTTGCAAAACTGCAAGAACACCTGCGGGAGGTGCCACCGGGGGCCTTGCCGGCCTTTGCACTGTCTCCCAGGGGCCCTCCCCCTCCTCTCCCGACGTGCCAGGCCTCGCTTCCTCTCGTTGGAGTGCACACTTGCCCTCGTCCCTTTTGAAACACCAGCTTTCCAGAGTTTCCTGCACTTGGGGGGCCATGCCCTCCCTGGGCCCCCTGCCTCACCTGAGCTGAAGGGCCCCAGGAGCGCCCAGTGGGAGCGGATGGATGCCCAGGGGACGGGCCTGTCTCCTGCATGCCTGAGCGGGGTGGGCACAGGGCGGAGGTACCCACAGCCTGTATTTGGGGGTTGGGGCGGTGCCAGGCATCCACAGTCTCCCCCCAAGGACAGAAGAGGGAAGCGCAGGGGCCATCAAGGCTCCAACCTGGGGCCAGAGGGAGCGTGGCCCCAGCCCTTCCCGCCCTCAGTTGCGGATCTGCTGGTGGTCCTTGGGCACGGCCACGAACCTCAGCTTCCTCAGGACGGCCGGCCGGCCCAGCAGCTGCTCGTCCCACAGGTACTCCGGGGACAGCACCTTGGTGGGCTTGTGGTCCAGCAGGTAGCGGTTCAGGTGGCTCTCGTCCTGCCAGACGGCCTCGATGCCGTTGGCGCGGTCGGCCGTCATGGCCCGGTGACAGGCCGTGGTGAGCCGGTGAACCTCGGACACCGACCCGCCGAAGAGGCCCCCCAGGTAGTAAAAGTCGCCCTGGTCCAAGGGGATGAAGGCCCGGGACTGCGGCCGGCGCTCGTAGGTGAAGGCCTGGCGGGCCGCCCCGTAGAAGCCGGGGTGCAGGGCGCCGAAGAGCGGGGACAGGATCTCCACGCCCACGTGGTCGCTGAAGCGCATGTCCACGTCGGTGCACACCAGGAAGGCCACCTCCCGCCGGAAGCGCCGCTCACAGAAGTCGCTGAGCATCTGCATGCGGCGCATGGACACGTCCTGCCAGCGCGCGGCGGCCGGGACCCGGAGCACCTCCAGGCGGCGGCCCTCGGCCAGCGCCACGCGGGGCACAGCGGCCGGCCGGTCGGTGAAGACGTAGTAGGTGACCCTGTGGCCCACCATGAAGTGCTGCTCGGCCGTCTCCAGGAACAGCTTCAGGAAGGCCACGTACCTGGGCAGGAGAGGGGCAGAGGGTCAGGGAGGGGCGGGGCCCGTGCACCCTCCTCAGGGGACCCACCCCCCTGAGCGGGAAGCCTTGGCCTCCCTCGTCCTCTGTTCCCAGAGATGGGGGGCCGGCAGCACCCCATCTTAGGGAGGAGGGCCTGAGGCTCCGGGGCTGGAGCAGGAGCCTCGGTGAGGAGCGGCCGAGCTGGGTCCCGCCTATGCTGGGCTCCGGGAGAGCCCTCACCCCCCAGGTCCCCATTTGGCCGGCCCCATCCCATCAGCCCTGGGCACAAGGACAGACCCTGAGGGGCCTGCCGCTCCGCCCGCCGCCCCCCTGAGCAGGAAGCCACCCCCACCCCATCCCCACCCCCGCCCCCTTCTTTTTTTAATTTTTTTAATTTTTTTTTTTTTTTTTACAGAGAGGAAGGGAGAGAGCTAGAAATGTCGATGAGAGAGAAACATCAACCAGCTGCCGCTTGCACATCCCCCACTGGGGATGTGCCTGCAACCAACGTACATGCCCCTGACCGGAATCGAACCCAGAACCTTTCAGTCCGCAGACCGACGCTCTATCCACTGAGCCACACCGGTTTTGGCCCCTTACTTCTTGATGGCGAACACGGTGAGCCCCACCGTGAGGTTCTGCAGCCGGAACTGCTCGTTCAGGAGGGCGATGTTGAAGGTGCCCTCCCAGATGACGGGCGCCAGCCACGGGGTCAGGACGAGGACGTCGTTCCTCCTGCAGCGGAGCCCAGGCCGCTGAGCGAGGGCCCTCAGCCTGTGCTCCGCCCCCCGGGGACCCCGCTGGCCCAGGCCCTCCGCCCCGGGCGGACCGTCCTTCCGAGGACCGGGCACCTGCAAGACCCTGCCGGTGCCAGCCCCGGGCGAACGGGCAGAGCCCTTACCGCCCTGCAGCCTGAGGCCGGGCCCGGACTGGCCGGCGGAGGGCCCCTGTGGCAGCCCCCCCCGCCCCCCCGCTGTCTGTGAGACAGAGGACAGGAGCGCAGCGCAGGGGAGGGCGGACTCTGTGGTCCGGGCTCGGAGCCCAGGCCGACCAGACGGCATGGAGCGGCAGAGCCAGTCCCGGGGCGACGTGGGTGGCACCGCCCGCTGGGAGGGGAGCGGGGGGAGTGCGATGGGTTACTCACGAGGGCGTCAGCACCCTGGGCTGCGGGTACAGCATCCTGAAACACAGCGGGCGGCGTGAGTGTGAGACCCCGTGGGAGAGGCTGGCGGGCAGGGTGGCTGCTGAGGGCCAGGCTGCGCCTCCTCCCGGGACCCGGGGCCCAGGCTCCTCCCGCACCGCACCTCGGGGGGGTGGGGGGGGCTCAGCCTCTGGGTGTCGCTTCCCCCTGTGGCTGGGCCCTGGGAGGAAAGGCCCCGGGCCTTTGCCCCCCTCTGACCCGAGTGGTGGGTCCCAGGTCCCGTCTCAGCTCACTGTGGGCCGGACGCCCTGGAAGGGGCCTCTGGGGTTGGGGGGACGAGGGGGCGGAGGACGGGGTGCCCAAGGAAGGAGCGGGCCCAGAGGAGCCGCCGGCAGACACGCACGTGGCCCGCTGGGCCTCTGGCTGGGTGACAGGAGCACCCGGACGTGGCCGTCACAGCGCCAGCTCCAACAGCCGCACGGCCAAGGTGAGCCTGAGCGGGGGGTGAAAGGCGTAGAAAGGACACGAGGACGAAGCTGGTCTCGGTGGGACGTGCTCCTCATGGAGAGACGCTCACATGAGTCTATTTCACAGCCGCTGCCCCGCGGCAGTGGGGGCGGGTCAGATGTCACAGCTTCTCTGGGTTTCACGCCACTCACCACCTGACCCAGCTGTTCACCTGCGGCCTCTCGCTCAGGCAGCGGGGCCACGTGTTCGGATCACAGGCTCACGCTCACAACCACAGCTGCTGGCCACCACGGTGCTGGGAGCTCCGCCCTCCACGCTGGGCCTTGCACGTGGCCGGGAGGACTGTGCGCTCATCAGCCCGAGACTCAAACCTGTCCCAAAGCTGTGGCTGCGCCCTACAGGGGGCCCTGTCAATTGAGTGCCCCGTGCACGCCCGGATGCACCCAAAGCCGATGCCTGCCCCGGCGGGTGGGGCTCAGCTGGAGCATGGTCCCCTGCACCAAAGGGTGGTGGGTTCGATTCTGGGTTGGGGCACATGTGAGAGGCAACCAAGTGATGTTTCTCTCTCACATCAATGTTTCTCTCTCTCCCGCTCCCTTTCTCTTTCTCTATAATCAGTGTGTTTACATCCTCAAGAGAGGCTTTAGGAGCAGGTGTCAGCCCCAGAGAGAAGGGGATTCTAACAGGCGCCATCCATGGGGACCCTGTGGCCATTGTACCGGCGAAGTCTCCCAGTCTGGTCCAGCTGGCTGGCTCAGGAGCTGAGCATTGACCCATGAAGCAGGAGGTCACTGGTTCAATTCCTGGTCAGGTTGCGGGTTCTCTCTCCAGGAGGGGGCGTGCAGGAGGCAGCCAGTCAATGATTCTCTCATCATTGATGTTTCCATCTCTCTCTCCCTTCCTCTCTGAAATCAATAAAAATATATTTTACTCAAAAATATAAAGATAGCCCTAACCGGTGTGGCTCAGGGGATAGCATTGGCCTGCGGACTGAAGGGTCCTAGGTTGGATTCCGGTCAAAGGCATGTACCTTGGCTGCGGGCACATCCCCAGTAGGGCATGTGCGGGAGGCAGCAAGATGGATGTTTCTCTCTCATCAATGTTTCTAACTCTCTATCCCTCTCATTTCCTCTCTGCAAAAGTATATATATATATATATATACACACACACACACACACACACATATATATACATACATACATATATATAACAAATATAATAGAAAGTAATTTTATTTTAAAAATGTACGACAAATTAATAAAGAAATGAGCTGGTGCAAAAGGACAAACACCGTGTGTGATGTGAGGTCCCCAGCGCCTGGAAGAGGGGAGGGAGGGGAGCTCCTTGGGGACAGAGTGTCAGCTTGGAAGATGGAACGTCCTGGCCATGGTGGTGGTGGCGGCAGCTGCCAACGTGTGAATGTCTGCTCCGCCACCGAGTCTACTAAAGATGGCTCAGACGTAGGTCTCGGCCACGTGTGTCCTGCTACAGTGAACATTTTAAACCAAGCAATGAGGGTGGCTGCCCTGCCTCAGGTCGCTCCATAAAAGCCCACAGCACCCAGGCCGGCCAGCCGGGCGGTCACCCCTTCAAAGCCAAATGCCAGCACCTGGTCAAGGCCGGCAGCAGCCCCTGTGGGTCTCCTGGGCGGCAGGGGCGGGGGGCACAGTCTGACCCAGCCCCGGGGAAGAAAGCAGCCACCTCCACCTGTCCCCAGCATCCCCCCCCCCCCCACACACACAGGGCCTGGCGGCCGGTGTCGCCGGCGGCCAGGCAGACACGGTACCTCGGTAGTTTCACAACTTGCATCCCGGCCGGTGCTCTAGCAGCCTCGCTGCCGGATGAGAACAGAGGTTTTACCGGGAGAACTCGGCTCCCGTGCAGGGACCAGCGCTGGGTCCCGTGGAGGGGGGCGGGCGGCCTGGCGGGTGGCCTTGGACTTCATCGTAGACACCACTGTGGGCAGTGGGCTGGCGCTGGCCTGTGTCCCTGCACTCAGGTGGAGGCCCCCTCTGCGGAGCCGCTGGGCCCGCGCTCAGCAGATGCTGCTGACTGAGGCCGAGCAGGTGCTGGTGGCGGGGTGCCTGCACTCCGGCCCCTCTGCACCCTCCCCCCCCCCCCGCTCTGCCTCCTCCTCCCACCTCTGTCCCCTCCACCCCCTCCTGGCTGCTGCGGAGGAGCAGGCGGAGGCCAAGGGCGGGGAGGACGGGCCTGGCAGGGGTAGCAGGTGTGAAGGCCCAGGGTCTGACCGCAGGCTCGTCCGGAGGACGAGGCTGGGCAGAGGCGGCGGGCGAGCGGGAGGTCCGTCACGGGCACAGGGGCCCGGAGGCAGGGGGTCAGAGGGCGGTCGGAGCTAAAGCCAGTCCTGCCCAGGTGACCCTGCAGGGCCAGGAACGTGGCCGCACTGCTCTGGGCATGGGGTGGGGGGTGGGGGGGACGGGCTGGGCCCTCAGGGCGGGCAGTGCGGCTGTCAGGGCAGGGCCCCCCCTCACTCACTCACCCTTCTCCTTCCGGGCTGGTCCCCGGCATCGGGATTCTCAGGTTCACCACCACCATGCTGTGGAAGAGCCCCCAAAGGCCCTTGCTGAGGAGCAGGTCCTGGCCGGCCTGTCCACCTTCCCCACGCAAAGGTCATACCCCCGAGCTCCCCAGAGCAGCTGCCCTCAGGCAGGACGGGAGGGAGGGGGGAGGGGCAGTGTCCCCTAAGCTCAGGTGCCCCCACGGGAGCCCCTGGGCGGCGGGAGTGGGTCCGGGCGTGGCTGGCCCAAGGCTGCCCAGGGACGGCTTCCTGGCAGGGTCCCTACTCCGGTCCCAGGGCCTTGTCCGTCCGGGAGCGGCTGACAGCGCGGCTCCCCTCCTCGCAGCCACACAGGGAGGGTCCCGGCCTCACCCGACTCCCCCCTGGTGAGGTGCGGGAGCACAGCCCCCCTGGGTGCGGCCCCGTGGGAGGGAGTGTGGAGCCGGGCCCTGGGCGGTGAGGCGCTGTCAGCCCTGTCTCTGCAGCTGTGACCGGGGAGCAGGATGGGGGGAACAGCTCAGGGCGCCCCTGGGATCCGATGGCCCCGCAGACCCAGGGGCCTGGCCGCTTCTCACCCAAAGACCAGGAGGAAGGTGACCAGGAGGAAGGCCAGAGGTCGAAGCGAGCGGCAGGGAGGTTTTCCTGGAAAACGCAGTGGGAATGCGGTCACGCCACGCGGCTCCTGGCTCCGGGGGTCTGTGGGCTGCACCGGGGACCCTGGCCCGGCCCCGCCAGGAGAGCGCCCCTCCCAGGGCGAGTTTGGAGCGAAACTGGAGCCCCTCTGAATGGCAGTCCCACCCCTAGGTTTGTCCCGTCTCCTTCCGAGGAGCCCACAGTCCTTCCTCCCAGCACCCCCAGGGCACCCCGACTCCCAGCTGCCCGGCCTCCCCAGGCCTCTTTCCACAGAGACCCCCAGACTGACAGGACCCCAGGGGCCTGAGCTGAGCACAGGAGGATGGCCGCCGCCCCCCGCCCCCACACCGGGAGGGGGGGGAGGGGCTGGGGAGAATTTCCTTTCTGCTTTGAAAATACCTTTTCATGTTTCCTTTTATTTATCTACATAGTTATATTTCTTTATTGATTTCAGACAGGGAGAGAGAGAAACATCCACGAGGAGAGAGAATGATTGATCGGCCGCCTCCTGCACGCCCCCTACTGGGGATCAAGCCCGCAACCCAGGCCTGTGCCCTTGGCAGGAACCCTTCAGTCTGGGACGGCTCAGACCGAGCCAAGCCCGCTAGGGCTCCCGTTTCCTTTTAAAAGCTTTTTTTTTTTTTTTTTTTTTTTTTTTTTTTTTTTTTAAATATTTTTTATTGATTTTTGTACAGAGAGGAAGGGAGAGAGATAGAGAGTTAGAAACATCGATGAGAGAGAATCATCGATCAGCTGCCTCTTGCACACCCCCTACTGGGAATATGCCCGCAACCAAGGTACATGCCCTTGACCGGAATCGAACCTGGGACCCTTCAGTCCCCAAGCCGACGCTCTATCCATTGAGCCAAACCGGTCTCCGCGCCTTTTAAAAGCTTTTAACACACACAGGCACGCTTATCTGCGGAATCCTTTATAGCCAATAAAACAAGCATTTAAGCACGGAGTGGATGAGTATTTAACGCTGTGCACACGTGTGTAACCGCAGCCCCAGCCCAGCCAGAAGCACAGGTTCCCTCCCGCCCTGCCCAGCAAGCACCCACCCCTGCCCCGGGCGCCCGCTAGCCTAACCGCTCCCTCTCAGGCTCCTCTCCCTGGCCTGTCTGAGCTCGATCAGGTACACACATTCCTGCACACTCCGTCCTGAAGATTATCCCGCAGGAAGCTGGTCCTGGGCCTCTGGGGGCAGCCGCTGCCTGTGCCGCCCCGGGGCCACCTGGTCGGGCTGCCCCGGGCTCGGTGGGGCGGCGGCTGCGTGCGGGGCGGGGGTGGCTTGGCGAGAGGCACAGGCAGGCTGAGGCCAGCCGCTGCCGGTGGGTGGGGACTTTTAGAAAAGTCCACAGGGCCGGCACGGGCCTGTCTGCCCACAATTCAGACAACTTGGATGCCAAGCACACGTGGCTGGAGGACTCGCCCAGGAGACCGGGGACTAAGTGGTGTGACGCTGGGCTCAGCAAAGAGTCCTTACAGTCCACACCGCAAGCACAAGGAACAGGAAAGCAAGTTCCATCGGAGCTCATCACAATGAATGCTCTGGGACTGGGGGACTGGGCGAAAGGGAAGAGATTAGCCCAAGAACACACGTGTTCAACCAATGGACACAGACAGCAGAGGCGGGTGGGGGGGGGGGAGGTCTGAGTGGAAGTGGGTAAAGGGGGAGGGGAGGGACACTATTACACTATCTGTAATAGTGTCAACAATAAAAAAAAATGTTTACATATATTTTATTGAGTTTTTACTGAGAGAAGGAGAGAGAGAGCGATAGAGAGTTAGAAACATCGATGAGAGAGAATCATCAATTAGCTGCCTTCTGCACACCCCCTACCGGGGATGTGCCCGCAACCAAGGTACATGCCCTTGACCGGAATCGAACCCGGGACCTTTCAGTCCGCAGGCCGATGCTCTATCCACTGAGCCAAACTGGTTTTGGCAACAATAAAAAAAATTAAAAAACTTTTGCACTTCAACTACACCATAAGAAAGTAAGCCACTGAAACCGGTTTGGCTCAGTGGATAGAGTGTCGGCCTGAGGACTGAGAGGTCTCAGGTTCGATTCCGGTCAAGGGCATGTACCTTGGTTGTGGGCACATCCCCTGTGGGTGGTGTGCAGGAGGCAGCTGGTCGGTGTTTCTCTCATCGATGTTTCTAGCTCTCTATCCCTCTCCCTGTAAAAAATCAATAATATATAGAGAGAAGAAAAGGAAGCGAGCCCAGCTGGTGTGGCTCAGTGGCTGAGCATTGACATGTGAATCTGGAGGGTGGAGATCTATTCCTGGTCAGGGCACTTGCCAGGGTTGGGGACTTGATCCCCACTGTGGGCGAGGAGGAGGCAGCTGATCAATGATTCTCTCTCATCATTGACGTTTCTATCTCTCTATCCTCCCTTTCTCTCTAAAACACACACACACACACACACACACACACACACAAATTCTAAAGCGTAGAAACCCGAAATGCCCGCCAGTGGTGAGTGGATAAATAATGGTGTGCCCATACAATATTACTCCGCAATGAACGTGGATGAAATACTGATACAGTGGCGGCTTGCAGAAGGCAGCAGATCAATTATTCTCATAATTGATGTTTCTCTCTCTTCCTCTTTGAAATCAACAAACTTTTTTTTTTTTTTAAGAGAGGGGTGTGGGTCGGTGGGAGATTCCCGGAGACGGACGGACGCGCTGTCTGAAGGCCGCCGCACCGAGCCTGGACCGGACCCCAGGCCAGCCGCCCCGCTGGCTGGGTCTGAGCACCCAGCGGCCCCAGGAGCCCCGGGGGCCGCGGCACCGGGCGCCCAGGGGCTCAGCGATCGGGGTGCCGGTTCCCGTCAGGACTCTTCCCGCCCAGGGACCGGGGCCCTGGGGCCGCCACTCACCCGCCGGCGTCCGCAGCAGCTCGGCCATCGCGGCCCGGGCGGCCGCCGCCGCGCGCCCCTCGGGCTGGGACTCTCCGACGCCGACCCGGCGGAGTGACAGCGGGGACCGGCCGAGGCCCAGGGTCCGGGGAACGGTCTGGGGCCCCGGGCCCGCCAGGTGGGGGCGGGGCCTCCCCTGGGGGCGGGGCATCCCAAAGGCACCAATGAGGACGCGCCCCTCCAAGCCCCGCCCCCTCGGGAGCTGGCACCTCCTCGGGCTCCACCTGCAGAGCCGGGCCCGCCCTGGCTCCTGGGGCTCCGGCCGGTCCCAGCCGCCAGCACCCGCCTCCACCGGCCGCCACCAGCTCGCCCCGAGGGGCAGCCCCGCCCCGCCCCGGGGTCCCTTCGCTGTCCCGGACCCACTGGCTGCGCCCCGCCTGCGAGGCCTCTGTCCGGAGAGGCGACGCCGGGGCAGATCGGGGGAGGAAGGGACGTCCTGGGGGTCGGAGGGAGGACCCCCTCCCCCTCCTCCTCTCCTCCCTCCTCCCTCTTCTCCTCCCCCATCCTCTATCCCCCTCCCCTCCCCTCCCCAACCGGCCTGATCCGGCGCCTTTCCAGGGGCTTCTTTTTCTTTTTTTAAAATATATATTTTATTGATTTTTTTTTTTTAGAGAGGAAAGGAGAGAGAAACATCCATCAGCTGCCTCCTGCACCCCCCACTGGGGATGTTCCTGCAACCAAGGTCCATGCCCTTGTCCGGAATCGAACCTGAGACCCTTCAGTCCGCAGGCTGATGGCCTATCCACTGAGCCAAACCCGTTAGGGCTCCAGAGGCTTCTCTATACTCTTCCGGGCACACCCAGGAAGTGCTAGTGACCCCGCCCCCTTTCCAGACGAGGAAACTGAGGCAGGGCCAGCGGTGAGGTCAGGCATCAGGTTCAAGTTCGTATTCCTCACTCCCCTGCCTCCACTCACGTTCCGTCATCAGCATTCACTCCCGTCTGCAGCTGCTCTCGAGGCGCAGGGGGACGCAGGGGGGACAGGAGCCTAGTCTGGGGCTCCACGCTCCTCTTCCTGTCCAAGCCCCTCCCGCCTCCCTGCTCCCGGTTCCCCCTGAGGACTAGGTCCCCTCCGGCAGGAAGCCAGCCAGCCTGGAGCCCCCCGGGCCTCTGTATCCTGAGGAAGAGGGGATCGCCCCCCCTCTCCCCAGGAGCAAGGGGTCCGATCCTGCTAGGGCCCCCCCAGCTCTGCCTGGAGCCCTCAGGTGGAGGGTACTCCTCACTCCCTGGATTCTGGCACAGGTCCCTGCTCTGTGGAATGTAGTGGGGGAAGGGGCTGGGGCCTTTGATCGCACTCACTGTCTTAGTGCCTTTCCTGTAGGAACTCCTGAACCTCCACCTGAACCTGCCTGCAGAAGGGACAGAGCTCAGGCTGGTGGTCTGGCTCAGTGGTTGAACTTGGACCTGTGAACCAGGAGGCCCCGCTTGGATTCCAGGTCGGATTCCAGGTCGGAGCACCTGCCGAGTGGAGTCGTGGGGCTCCTTCCCTGTAGGGGGCGTGCAGGAGGCAGCCGATCAGTGATTCTCATCCTTGATGTTTCTCTCTCGCTCCCTCTCCCTTCCTCTCGGACATCAGTAAAAACATGTTTTTTAAAAAGGCAGGGACTGCACAGGTGAGCGGAGAGCCAGGGCCTGGCCAGGGGAGACCTGGCCTGGAGGCCACCCCACTGTTACCCAGCACCTGCTGGAGTCCCAAACCCAATTCTTGTCCCGTCTCACAGCTTCCCCGCCCTCCCTCCGCCCCAGCTCCGCACCCCAATGCTGGCTGGGCCTGGGGCAGCTTCTGTCCGGGTGCATGGAGAACTGGGAAGGGTCTGAGATTTGACCCCACTTGCCAACTAACAGCCTATCCGCCGAGCCAAACAGGCTGGGGCTGAAGGACGCCTTGATGGCCTCCACGTGCTGGGCAGTTATGAATAAAATTTCTGTAAACATCCTGGGCAGGCAGGTGGCTTTTGTTTTCTTAAACACATGTTTACTGGTTTTAGAGAGGAAGGGAGAGGGAGACAGAAACAATGATGAGAGAATCATTGCCCTGCCTCCTGCACGCCCCACCATGGGGATCGAGCCCAAAACCCGAGCATGTGGGCATTAGAGTCGAACCTGGGACCCTTTAGTCCGCAAGCCCATGCGCTATCCACTGAGCCAAACCACCTAGGGCGGCAGGTAAAGGTTTCCAGCTCCGTTAGATAAATCCCAAGGAGCACCACGGCTTGATCCTATGGTATGAACTTGTCCTCTTTGGGAAGAAGCAGCCAAACGTTTTTTCGAAAGTGGAGGCTCCATGCTGCGGAAGTTCCTCCAGCTCCGACTGAGAGTGCCGGAGGGTCCCTGTGGCTGCTCAGCCTGGCCAGCACTCGGGGGCCCCCGTCCCCCCGATTCTGCTTTTCAGGCTTGGCCCTGCCCGTGCTTCCCGCCCGGAGCCGGCTGGGCTGTCCTGGGGCGCAGACCAGACAGACAGTGGACAGCAGGGCCAGCGCCCCGCGCGGGGCGCCGGGATGCGGCGGGGGGCGGGGCGAGCGGCTGGGGGCGGGGCGAGCGGGGCTGCCTCCGGAGGCGGGACTAGCGGGTCGCTGACCTGTCCGGCCCCGCTCGTGGCAGCCGGCCTTCCGTCCGGCGCATCCGCTCGCCCCAGCGCCGGACCGCGGGTGCGTGCGGAGGCCCTGGCTCCCGCTCTCCGGGTCCGGGTGAGCCCCTGATCCTCCCCGACGCCGGCCTGGCCGAGGGGTGAGTGCCACCCCGCAGGGACCGCGGTGCCCCCTCCGCCCCGCCCTGCGCGCCCGGCGCCGGGGCCCGGACGGGGGAGGCGAGGTGCCCGCTCGGCCCAGGTTCCTGGGCGCGCGCCGCGCTGGGGCGGCTGGGCTCGGGCCTGGCTCTGCGTCCACGGAGCGGCCCGGCGTCTTGGGCGCGGAGGGAGAGAGGGGCAGGGGTCTTCAAACTACGGCCCGCGGGCCTCCGGCCCGCCAGGTTTTTTGGGCAGTGAGCGCAGCCGAGGTGTTACAGTAGGAATTAGTAGTTCATATGGTCCCGCCCTCCAGCTCTCTGAGGGACCGTGATCTGGCCCCCACTTTAAAAAGTTTGAGGACCCCTGGAGCCGCTAGCGGAACCGAGGAGGGGAGGGAACCGAGGCCCGCGGAGGGCGGCGGGGGGAGCGGGTGCCAGCGGCCACCGAAACTCCAGCTCCGGGACCTTTCTCTGACCTCGGGTGGGCGGACTGTTGTGGGGTTGAACCCTGGAGCCAAAATAAGACCACCGGAGGCTGCTGATTGATATAAAAAAGCAGGCAGGATTTATTGAACTGGCCAGGACAGGACGGCCGCGACCACGCCGTGCAGGTGTAGGCAGTCCTTTTAAAGGTCTAAACCACAGACATTTCCCTCTGCTCTAAATCCTAAATTCTAATGCTGGGAACGCCCCAGCCACATCCTGCTGGACGTTGGAATGTGGACGGAACTCTCTGCGATAGCAACGCAGAAGCAGAGCTGAGCAAACAACCTCTAACCGTTATCTGCAGTTCCTGCTCCTGGAGCTGCTGAGCCCGTGGGGATCGGTCGCCTGTGGTCCTGGGCCACGGGCACAGGAAAACCGCCTTAGCCTCCAGGTCTCCGTCTGGAAGTGAGGCAACCACCCTATTGTTTAGGCAAGTAAGCGAGTAACAGGGCTAAAATTCAAACAGCAGCCCTAACCGGTTTGGCTCAGTGGATAGAGCATTGGCCTGTGGGCTGAAGGGTCCCAGGTTCGATTCTGGTCAAGGGCATGTACCTTGGTTGAGAGCACATCCCCAGTGGGGGATGTACAGGAGATAGCTGATCGATATTTCTCTCCCGATGTTTCTAACTCTCTATCCCTCTCCCTCTTTGTAAAAAAAAAAAAAAAAAAAAAAAAAAAAAAAAAATTCAAACAGCAGTTTTTACCTGAGTTTGGTTGCTACTGTACTTCAGGGACCCCCTGCCCGGCTGCCTGGGGCCCTTGGTCGCTGTGACCCCGACTGAGCCTAACCCTAACCCTTCCCTGTGCGTCACCCTCAGGGGCGCTGCGTGTTGTCCTTCCTCCCCGCCCACCCAGCCCCTGCACCCGGGAGCTCCCGAGGCTGGGGTGACTCCCGAACTGAGCCAGTGAGAGCCGAGCGGCCCCTGCAGGGCCAGGCCTCACCCCCGGGGGAATGCACCCGCTGCCTCCCGCTGGGCCCGCCCGCCTCGGGAGCCGCGTCCTGTGCGGGCTGTGCGGCTCCTGTCCTCGCTGTCGCTCTCGGATTCTCCAAGTCCCGCCTAAGCGCCCGGCTCTCCCGCTGTCGCCCCGGTCTGGGGCCTCTCTTCGCACCCTCGTGGGGGGAGTTTTGAGGGAGACCTGGGAGGCCGGGCTGGGGGGTCATGGGCCAGGCCGAGCGCCTCTCCTGAGGCACAGCTGCAGGCGCAGCTGAGCGCTGAGCTCCTGGGAGCTGCCGCCGGGGTCCCCTTCCCTGGAGGGAAAGGGGGCGCAGGGCCACAGGAGGGCGCTGTCTCTGGGTGAGGAGGGCCAGTGTCTCTGGGTGAGGAGGGCACTGTCTCTGGGTGAGGAGGGGCGCTGTCTCTGGGTGAGGAGGGGCAGTGTCTCTGGGTGAGGAGGGCACTGTCTCTGGGTGAGGAGGGCGCTGTCTCTGGGTGAGGAGGGCCAGTGTCTCTGGGTGAGGAGGGCGCTGTCTCTGGGTGAGGAGGGCCAGTGTCTCTGGGTGAGGAGGGCACTGTCTCTGGGTGAGGAGGGCGCTGTCTCTGGGTGAGGAGGGGCAGTGTCTCTGGGTGAGGAGGGGCAGTGTCTCTGGGTGAGGAGGGCGCTGTCTCTGGGTGAGGAGGGCGCTGTCTCTGGGTGAGGAGGGGCGCTGTCTCTGGGTGAGGAGGGGCAGTGTCTCTGGGTGAGGAGGGCGCTGTCTCTGGGTGAGGAGGGGCAGTGTCTCTGGGTGAGGAGGGCGCTGTCTCTGGGTGAGGAGGGGCAGTGTCTCTGGGTGAGGAGGGCCAGTGTCTCTGGGTGAGGAGGGGCAGTGTCTCTGGGTGAGGAGGGCGCTGTCTCTGGGTGAGGAGGGCCAGTGTCTCTGGGTGAGGAGGGCGCTGTCTCTGGGTGAGGAGGGCGCTGTCTCTGAGGAAGGAGCATCTCTTTCAGGTGTTCCCGCAGGACAGAGGCTCTGAGAGAGGAGGGCTGATTTGCCCCGGCACACCCGTCCCCCGCCGGTGCCCGGAGGGGGCTGCACCGCCATGCGCTGCCGCAGACTGGCCCTGGGCCTGGGCTTCTGCCTGCTGGTGGGCACCGTCCTCTGCACTCTGTGGTGAGCATGCCTGGGGAGCCCTCCAGCGCACCCTCAGACTCCCCTCTGGGCATCTCGGCCCCCCATACCTGACCCGTCCAGGGAAGCCCACCTCTCCGGCCCCCACCCCCAGGAAGACCTGTGGAGGCGCTGGATTTTGCCTGGGACTGGCCCCTGGCCTTAGCACTGCCCTTCCCTCTGCCTCACCGTCCTTCCGGCCCCGATGGCCAGGAGCTCCTGTTGGTGCCCCCAGTTCGCCCTGTGCGTTCCGGGGGCGTGCCCCCTCTGTGTGCAGGGCTGGGGGCGGAGGGATGGGTGGCTTCAGGGGTGACTCGTGACTGCATGCTGGTCCACCAGGAGGCTTTGTCCCCCGCGGGCAGCCAGACCAGGGCGCCGTGGGGGCCACAGATGCTCCCCCGGGCCTTGGCTCCCACCGGGGTGCGGCAGGAGGGCCCAGCCTCGGGGGGCCTCGAACCCACGGTGTTTTTCCTTCCCAGGGCATATGCCGACAGCTGGCTGCCCTTCTCCTACATCCCCTACTACCTCCCCTGCCCGGAGATCTTGTGAGTACGGGGCGGGCAGGGTTGGGGCGCTGTGGGCGGCGCGGAGTGGGAGATGGGAGTTTAAGGTCCCTTTGTCTGCAGGGGCTTGGGTCCTCAGCTCACATCATTGCTGGGCGTCTGCCCGGCCTCGTGCTCCGTGACCACGAAAGGGAAGTTTAAAACCGGAAGCACAGGCTGTCCATGAACAAGGCGTGTTTGTTACCATGGAAACATCGACTGTAGCGTGGCCAGGCGGCTCAGGGGGCTGGAGGGTCCTCCCCAGCACCCAAAAGGTGGTGGGCGCAGTTCGTCAGGGCACATGACTAGGCCGTGGGGGTTCGATCCCCCGACGGGGTGTGTGGGAGAGGCAACTGATCGATGTTCCTCATGTGGCCGTTTCTCTCTTCCTCTCAAATCAATAAAAACAGCACTGGCAGGTGTGGGTCAGTGGTTAGAGCATGGGCCCTTGCACGGAAGGGCTGCAGGTTTTTTGTTTTTTTTTTTAATAGAGAGGAAGGGAGAAGGACAGAAAGTCAGAAACAACCACTGAGCCAAACTGGTTCTGGCAAGCTGCAGGTTTATTTTTTTTTAATTTAAAAAAATATATGTTTTATTGATTTTTTACAGAGAGGAAGGGAGAGGGTTAGAGAGCTAGAAACATTGATGAGAGAGAAACATTGGCCAGCTGCCTCCTGCACACCCCCACCGGGAATGTGCCCGCAACCAAGGTACATGCCCTTGATGGGAATCGAACCTGGGACCTTTCAGTCCAGGCTGATGCTCTATTCACTGAGCCAAACCGGTTTCGGCAGGGCTGCAGGTTTGATCCCAGAACCGCCAGGGCTTGTGCCCGATGCCTCTCTCCTTCTTCCCCTCCCTCTCCCGCTCCCCCTCCTTCCTCCTTTTCTCTCAAAGCCAATGCAAAATAGATCCCCTGGTGAGGACTAAGATAAATAATAACAAAGTAAAGTGAAGAAACACACAGTCTCCGGTGAAGATTAAGAACTTTGTGGCCACAGAATAGAGTAAATGAGGAAGCCGGAAAACAGAAAAGACTCAGGAAAAGCCCTCTTGGGTGCCCCTGAGCTGAGTTTTGCTCGTTTCCAAGTCCGTCGGCAGCTTGTGGATTGCTGCGCTTCCTGACGGAACACACTGGGCATCTCGCTGGTTCTGAAAGCACAGAGGCTTCTTGCTGTTGAGAACGGCTGTGACCTCCGATGACAGCCAGTGACACGGGAGCCGTCCACGGCACCTCCCAACAGACAGTCTCCCAACAGACAACCGGACGCCCTGCGGCCGCCGCCGGCCTCACCGGCGAACCTCACCAAACACCCCAAGGACGGACACCTGCCTCCACCCGTCCCAGCAAACCCAGCTCACCTTGCGAGGCCAGCATAACAAATTTTATCTCATTGCAAACCAGATAAAGACGCATCAGAGAAAGAGGATCACAGGCCTAAAATCCTAAACAAAATATAAACAGACCGGATCAGGCAATAGATTAAATAGGTCACCCACCATGGCCAAGTGGGGTTTACTGCGGGGATGCGAGGCCGGGACACTATTGAAAACAGGAAAGTTTTTGGATAGAGCGTCGGCCTGTGGACTGAAGGGTCCCAGGTTCGATTCCGGTCAAGGGCATGTACCTTGGTTGCGGGCACATCCCCAGTAGGAGGGTGTGCAGGAGGCAGCTGATTGATGTTTCTCTCTAACTCTCTCTCTCCCTTCCTCTCTGTAAAAAATCAATAAAATATATTAAAAAAAAAAAAGTTCCAGGAACTCGCAGGGAACACACACACACACACACACACACACACACACACAAAGAAAGAAAGCAGGAAAGTGGTGATGGTAATGTGTTTGAGATGTCCATCCTGTTCCCAGAAATGGCATTACTTTCCGGCCTGTGTCCGGCCTTCGGGGTCACCACCAGTTCATTTCCGGGCCCGGCTCCCGGTGCCCCCTGAGCTGAGTGAGCGCGTCCCGAGTGGCTTTGGATGGGAAGCTTTTGCCTTCTTCAAGGCCCTTCTGCTGTGAATCCTCACCTGGGGAGATTTTCCCATTCATTTTTTAAAAAATATATTTTTATTGACTTTTTACAGAAAGGAAGGGAGAAGGTAGAGAGAAACACTGATGAGAGAAATATCTGTCAGCTGCCTCCCGCACGCTCCCTATTGGGGACCGAGTCTGCAACCAAGGTACAAACCTTTGACCAGAATCAAACCTGGGATCTTTCAGTCCACAGCCCAATGCTCTGTTCACTGAGCCAAACCAGTCAGGGCTCCATTGATTTTTTTAAAGAGAGTGGGCGGGGGAGAGACAGAGAGAGAAACATTGATGTGAGAGAGACATCAATTGGTTGCCTCCTGCGTGTGCCCTGAGCAGGGCCAGGGATCAGGCTTGCAATTGAGGCACCTGCTCTTGGTCAAAATTGAATCCGGGACCCTTCAGTCTGCAGGCCGACGCTCTACCCACTGAGCCACACCGGATAGGGCAGCGGAGGTTCTTGATCCCCTGGGCTTGTTGGGATGGTTTGTTAAGGCAGGTGTCCGTCGTTGAATGATTGGTGAAGGTCACCTGTGAGGCTGTCTTCTATTTGTCTTGTCAGGCTGCTTTCTGGAAGGGCCCCGAGCACCCTCCCTGCCCACCTCCCACTGCCCCTGGGCCCCGACTGGCAGGACCAGGAGCTATCGATAGAAAAACTAAGAGCAAGCCCTCCCCATATCCCCCGGATCGCCCCCAGGCCCTTCCTGCAGGCTCCATGGCTCCCTCCTCTTCTCCCAGCCCCCTTCTTCCTTCGGCCGCCTGCGGTCCTGTCAGCACCCTGGCCGAGCAGTTTGGCTACATTTTTTCCCCTCCAGTTTGCCCGTCTTTGGGTTCTCCCAAGTTATTTTTCTGGACACCAACCAGCCTGCCACTCGGTGAGCCTGGACAGACGCCTCGGTCGCAGCCCAGCCCCTGCAGAGCGGGCAGAGCCCTGGGGAAGGTTCCGGATTGTGCCCCGGGGGTGCCAGGTTAACCTTAGCTCCGTTCTGCCTCCGGCTGGCACTGACGGCTCTCTCACCTCTGCCCACAGCAACATGAAGCTGCAGTTCCGGGGGGAGAAGCCGTTCCAGCCGGTGGCCCGGTGAGCAGCCTGCCCTCCCCCCTTTGAGGCCCGGGGTGGGGTGGGGCAGCCGCCCTCACCACGGCCCTTCTCGGTCGCAGGTCGCAGTACCCTCAGCCAAAGCTGCTGGAGCAGAGGTAGGTGCTGCCTGGGGCCTGGGTGCAGCTGGGAGGCGGGGGGAGAGCTTTGTAGCTATCACCGTTTTCCACCTGGGGACGCTGAGGCCCCGACACGGGGACGAAGCCGCCTGGGGTCGCAGGGCGTGGCTGGCAGGGCCCAGGAGAGCCCGCGGTGCCCACGGGGAGGGTCTCACGCCCTCGGCCGCCCCTGCCGCCAGGCCCACCGAGCTGCTGACGCTCACGCCCTGGCTGGCTCCCATCGTGTCCGAGGGAACCTTCGACCCGGAGCTCCTGCGGCTCATCTACCAGCCGCTGAACCTGACCGTCGGGCTCACCGTGTTCGCCGTGGGGAAGTGAGTGGCGGGGCAGGGCGGCCCCTCTGAGCCCCAGGAGCTTCCAGGGGCTGTGCAGGGGGAGGTGGGGAGGAGTGAGCCGGGGACAGGGCTTCTGGAGGAAGGGGGCCTGGCCCTGCAGGGAAGGGGGAGGGGGCAGCCCCGGAGAGGGGACAGCAGAAGCCCGTGTCAGAGACCCCTCCCCGCTCTCCACTTCTCCTGGTCAGGCAGGTGTGAAGGAGTAGACACCCCCTAGGCCAGTGGTCGGCAAACTCATTAGTCAACAGAGCCAAACAGCAACAGGACAACGACTGACATTTCTTTTGAGAGCCAATTTTTTAAAAAAATATATATTTTATTGATTTTGTACAGAGAGGAAGGGAGAGAGATAGAGAGTTCGAAACATCGATGAGAGAAAGACATCGATCAGCTGCCTCTTGCACACCCCCTACTGGGGATGTGCCCGCAACCAAGGTACATGCCCTTGACCGGAATCGAACCCGGGACCTTTCAGTCCCCAAGCTGACGCTCTATCCATTGAGCCAAACCGGTTTCGGCGAGAGCCAATTTTTTTAAACTTAAACTTCTTCTAAGGCCACTTCTTCAACATAGACTCACCCAGGCCATGGTATTTTGTGGAAGAGCCACACTCCAGGGGCCAAAGAGCCGCCTGTGGCTCGTGAGCCGCGGTTTGCCGACCTCTGCCCTAGACCACCACGGGGTCCATGGGCAGGCCCCGCCCTCTCTGCCAGCTCTCTGGGTTCCTCCTGTCTTCCTCTCTCCTCCCGCCAGCCGGCAGCTTCCCTCTCGGTCCCTTTCCTCTCTCCGGACGCCACGTCTCTGCCTGTACGGTGGGTGACGGTGGGAGCCCGTAGGCAAGGCCGGCAGGTGCTCAGTGAGCGTGAGGTGGGCTTGTGATGGGGCTCAGGGGCAGGGCTAGGATGGTGGCATGTGACAGACGAGGACCCTAGGGTCAGAGTGAGGGGCCGCTCACGGTGGGGAGCGGAGGGTGCCCACCCCGGCCGGCTCCGGCGCCGTGCGGTGCCAGCACGCCGTGGGATGACGGGCTCTCGCACCAGGTACCTGGGCTTCGTGCAGCACTTCCTGGAGTCGGCCGAGCAGTTCTTCATGCAGGGCTACCGGGTGAGCTACTACGTCTTCACCGACGCGCCCGCCGCGGTGCCCCGGGTGCCGCTGGGCCCGGGCCGCGTGCTCCGCGTCCTGCCCGTGCAGAGCCACGCCCGCTGGGAGGAGGTCTCCATGCGCCGCATGGAGGCCATCAGCCGGCACATCGCCCAGCGGGCGCACCGCGAGGTGGACTACCTCTTCTGCGTGGACGTGGACATGGTGTTCCGGAACCCCTGGGGCCCCGAGACCCTGGGCGACCTGGTGGCCGCCATCCACCCCGGCTACTACGCCGCGCCCCGCCGCGAGTTCCCCTACGAGCGCAGGCACGTCTCCACCGCCTTTGTGGCGGACGGCGAGGGCGACTTCTACTACGGCGGGGCGGTCTTCGGCGGCCGGGTGGACAGGGTGTACGAGTTCGCCCGGGGCTGCCACATGGCCATCCTGGCGGACAAGGCCAACGGCGTCATGGCGGCCTGGCAGGAGGAGAGCCACCTGAACCGCCGCTTCATCTCGCACAAGCCCACCAAGGTGCTGTCCCCCGAGTACATCTGGGACGACAGGAAGCCCCGGCCCCCCGACCTGAAGCTCATCCGCTTCTCCACGCTCGACAAGAACACCCAATGGCTGCGCAGCTGACGGTAGAGCCGGGGCTGCTGGGGACGGGGGCCAGCGGGGCAGCCAGCAGCCCCAGGGAGCACCCAGCTCACTCCAGGGAGCACCCAGCAGCTCAGGGAGCATCCAGCTCACCCCAAAGAGCACCCAGCTCACCCCAAAGAGCACCCAGCTTAGCCCAGGGAGCACCCAGCAGGCTCAGGGAGCACCCAGCTCACCCCAAAGAGCACCCAGCTCCAGTGGAGCACCCAGCTCACTCCAGAGGAGCACTTAGCAGCCCCAGCAAAGCACCTAGCTCACCCCAGGGAGCACCCAGCAGCCCCAGGGAGCACCCAGCTCACCCCAGAGGAACCCTCAACTCCAGAGGAGCACCCAGCAGCCTGAGGGAGTACCCAGCTCTCCCCAGTCAGTGCCTCACTTCCCAAGCCTTAGCTGAGACCTGTCCTGTGCGGCCGCCTCCCTGTCAGGGAGATCCAACTGGAAAGCGACATGGAAGGGCCTTTAAAACTGTGAGGGCTGTGCCCACTGAGAAAGCAAACCTAAGAGGGGGGGACGGGAGGGGTGGTGAAGAGGGCAGGCCCAGAGGCTCCCAGCAGACTCGCCTTCGTGCGGCTCTGTGCCTGCCTGCTCAGCCCTGTGTCCCTCCGCCCCCTTTGCTGCCTGCTGCCTTCGAGGTCACCTGTCCCCGCTGGCTGTGAAGGGCGGCCAGGCCCCCTTTCCTCCAGCTGCAGGGCTCCAGCCCCACCCAGGACCCTCGCTGGCTTCCGGTCCAGCTGCACCCACGCCCCGTGGCGGCCCCTCCCTGGCACTGCCGCCTCTGCCACTGCCGCCTCTGCTATGCCGCCTCTGCCATGCCGCCTCTGCTGTCAGGAGGTCGGAGGTTTTAATAAGGGCAGCACGGGCCGGGCCCTCACCAGGCTTCCCCCGTGCCTCTGAGCGCCTTGGCCATGGCGAGGAGCAATGGGGCAGGAAGGGTGCGCCCCAGCCGTATCTGGGTGAGCACCCGCCCCGGAGACGCTGGTGCCAGCCCAGAGCCCGCTCCGCAGCACGTGGTGCGCCCGGTGAGCGAGGAGAGAGCCTGGGTGGAGGGCCCTGGGTGCTTCCGAGTGAGGCAGGGACAGGGTGGGCCCGCGGCCTGTGCGTCCCCGGTGGGTCTCCCTGCCCTCGGGAGGCAGGTCTGAAGCAGGCTGTGTGGAAGGAGCAGGCCTTGCGCCACTGCGGGCCCAGCCCCGGCCAGTCTGACCCCAGAGGCAGTGTTCGCACAGGAGCCCGAGCCCAGCCTTGTCTGTCATTTTGACCCTCATTACAGTGCGTCTTCAGAACCACCCGGCTAGTGTGGCTCAGTGGTTGAGCATTGACCTATGACCGGGGCAGTCGTGGTTTGATACCCGGTCAGGGCACATGCTGGGCTGTGGGCTTGGTCCAATGGTTCTAGCTCATCATTGATATTCTGTCTCTCCCTCCCTTCATCTCTGAAATCAATAAAAATATATATTAAAATTAAAAAAATAAACTTCAGAAATCCCAAACGGATCTGTCCTGGCAAGATTGGCACCTGTAGCTCGGATGTGACCTTGTCAGACGGGGGCTGGGCCTGTCTCCAGCCCTCCCTGCTCCCTGCTCCCCCCACCCCCTTCATCCTTTCCAGGAGCACCCCGGCCCGGCCCTCAGCTCCTTTTAGGGGAGAGCCCGGCCTGGGGCTAGGTTCCAGGAGTTGGGTTCGGTCTGTGGTTTCTAAGGGCCATGCCCTGGGTGGGGACCATAGTGCCCAGGGGCGTGGGCCCAGGCTGGGCGGAGCTGGGCTCTCTGCCCTCCTGGCCAGGGAGCCCCAACAGAAGACACGGCCTCAGAGATGCAAAGAGCAATGATTCTGACCCCCCCCTCCAGCCCCCCTTCCCAGCTGCAGCTGGTCACTCAGAGCTGAGAGGTCCTCAGTACCAGGACCACCGCTCATCCATAAAGTGGGTGACAGCACTGAGGGTCCAGGGGGCTCCCCAGTAACCGTACCCTCAGCACTGGCCCATCTGGGGTGGCGCTCTCTCCCCTACGGCCCTTCAGCCCTCTTCCTCCAGCCAGGGGTCTGGGTCCTGCCGGGAAGAAGGGGGAGGGGACCAGGAGAGGTGGAAGGGGCAGCCTCACCTTGCTGCCTACTGGCGTCCACTCCCACTCGGGTCCCCGGGCCGGCCATCCACCAGCCAGCTCTGCAGGCGCCAGGCGGGGCCGACAGGACAGGGCGGGGTGTCCATGCGATGCCTCCAGTGTCTGCACGGCCCCACGCCGGCGGACTCGGCCCGGCTGGGTTTGGGGGGTTCGGGGGTCCTAAGGGGGCGCAGGGAGCCCGCCGCGGGCCACGAGGGCGGGGGGCGCGGAGCTCCGAGCACCAGTGGCTGCGCGCGGCGAGGGGGCTCCTGGGCACGCGCGTCCCCCGCCCGAGCGCGCGCCCTGCGGATCGCAGGCCCGGAGCCCGCAGCCCGCAGCCCGCAGCCCGTAGCCCGCAGCCCGCAGCCCGCAGCCCGCAGCCCGGAGCCCGCAGCCCGCAGCCCGCAGCCCGGAGCCGGAGCCCGGAGCCCGCAGCCCGCAGCCCGGAGCCGGAGCCGGGGAGGCGGTGCGCGCCCCCAGCTCGCGGGCCCGCCCCCCGCACCTGCGGCGGCGGCGGGGTTGGGCGGGCGGGCGGGGCGGGGCCTGGCTGACCCGCCCACCGGCGGCCGGAGCCCGGGCGGAACGGAGCGGCGGGCCCAGCGGCCGCGGGCGCAGACAATGGGCGCGGCGCGGGCGGCTCCCCGGCGGCGGGGACGGGCGGCCGCGCCATGAGCCCCGCAGCCGGGCGCCCCCCGGTGCGGCGCGCGGGCCGAGGCGAGCGGCCGCTGCGGGTCCCGGGCGCCCCCCGGGGCCGGCGATGCGCCGCCGCGGCCGAGGATGATGGTGGATTGCCAGGTGAGTCCGGCCGGCCGCCGCCCTCCCGGCGCGGGGGAGGAGGCCCGCCGCCCGCCACACCCATCCGGCGGGAGGGCGCGCTCCGCGTCCACGCCCCGCGCGCTTACGCAGTTCCGCGTCCAGCCCCTCCGGGCACAATGGGGAAACTGAGGCCCGGGGCGCGGGGAGGGCTCCGGCCTCCGGGGCCATTCTCCGCTCTCCCGTGGGGTTTCCTTGGGGAATGAGGTCCCCGAAGGCCCTGGGGGAACCCCTGTGCACCCCTCCCTCGCGGGGCCCTTCCTCCGGGCATCCCCACGTGGGCACAGGCGCGTGCACGCGCAGCGACTTCACAGGTGGGGCCTGGAGTGTGTGCAGAGGAGGGCGCAGGTGACAGGGGAGCGGGAGGCTGGGGGCACCCGGCCATCAGGCGCCTCTGGTCCCCTAGCGTCACTCTCGGGCCCATAACCTGTGGAGGGAGAGGTGCCAGGCTGATGCCAGGGGCCCTAAAGGTGCCCTGGGCCATGGAGAGGGCTCCTGGAACTAGGAGGAGACCCCCTCCCCCTGGGGGGGCCCAGGAGAACAGGCCTGAGCCTGTTTCGCTATAAGCTGGCTGCACAGACGGTGGGACACCCAGGGTCCCACAGGCCCCGGCTCTCCATCCGCGACCCGCTGTGCTCCGAGTCCGTGGGACACCCTCCTCCCTGGAGGTCCTCTGAGCAGCCCGGGCGGAGGGTCCTGGGACCTGGGTGGCAGAACACGGCAGAGCCTGGGCCGCTCCTCTGGGGACCACGGACAAGGCCACCCTCGCAGGAGCCTCGGGGTCTTCATTTGGAAGTGGGTCCGCGGTTACTGCCCTGGTGGGGTGAGGCGGCCTCATGAACGAGCTAGACACCAGGATAGTGGGGGGGAGAGGAGGACGAGAGAGGGTCCGGGGGTCCCAGGCATGGCTCCCTGAGCTCGCAGGTCCTGATCCTCTGCCCTGGGTGACAGGGAGAGCCGCTGCCTTGACTACGGCCAAACAAAGGTGTGTGTTTTGTTTTCTGGTTGTCTTGCCTGGGGCTGCAGTGCTGGGGATGACCGCCAGGGGGCGGGCTGTGCTCACTGGAGCCGCGGGTGCCGGGAAGGGACGCCCAGGGGTCATTCTGGGCATCGAGCTGCGTCGGACACAGCATGCACCTTGCATGACTGGTCTCCATGTCCACAGTGCGAGCTGCTCAGAGGCGGGAGGGGCGCCGAGACCCTCTCGTTTTTCAGTTTCTGCGCCCCCACAGCACGCACCCTGAGCAGGAGCCCGCCTGGCCCCTGCCCTCCCAGAGCTCAGCCTGGAAGGGCAGATGGACAAGAGCACAAAGGCAAACCCTGTGGGAGGGAAGCGCAGTGCTGGGGGACAGGGAGCAGGTGCGGAGGGAGGGCAGGGCCCTAGGAGGGCCTAACGGCCTCCAGGTGACAGTTATGCTGTGACCCCCAGGACGAGAGGAGCCGACCTGCACAGGTCTGGGACAGGGTGTGGCTTGGGGGGTGGGGGGCGCTCAGGTGGGAGACTCTGAGAAGGTGTCCGTGGTCAGGGTTGGTATGAGGAGGTGCAATGCTGAGGATGATGGGGGCGGGGAGCAGAGATGGGCTCAGTGGGGCTGCTTTAACGAAGTACCACAATCGGGTGGCTCAACACAGAAGTGCCCGGCTGGTGTGGCTCAGTGGTTGAGCGTCAACCTGTGTATCAGAAGGTCATGGTCAGGGCACAGGCCGGGGTTGCAGGCTCGATCCCCAGTGGGGGGCGTGCAGGAGGCAGTCGATCGACAATTCTCTCTCATCACTGATGTTTCTCTCTCTCTCCCTCTCCCTTCCTCTCTGAAATCAATTGCAAAAAAGAAAAAAGAAAAACAAAACCCCCAGAAGTTTCTTCTCTCTCAGTTCTGGAGGCCAGGAATCCAAAATCAGGTGTGGGCAGCGCGTGCCTCTGCAGGCTCCGGAGGCGGGACCTCCTGCCTCTTCTCCTGCCGCGGCGGCCGGCTCCACAGCTGCTCCCCCTGCACCTGGCCTCCGTGTCTGTGTCCACTTTCCCCTCGTCCTCTGAGGACACCAGCCCCTTGACCTTGGTGAGGACCCCCGAATCCAGTGTGACCTCACCTTAACCTGGTTGCGTCTGCCAAGGCCCTGTTTCCAAACAAAGCCTTCGTCCCAGGTGCCGGGCGTCAGGGTCCCAGCCTGCCTTTGGGGAGGAGGAGGCGGGGCACAGTTCGGCCCCCAGCAGGGACAGGAGTGATTCCCTCCTGGGGGCAGGCGGAGCCGCTGGGTCTGAGGCGTCTCTGGCATCTGCGGGCAGCGGGGGGCTGTGGGGGTAAGGGGAGCCCGGGGTGCCCTCAGGGACAGACTGCTGCTCCCCCGGCCGGCGCGCCCTGGAGCAGCGCCAGCAGGTGGCGCTGTGACCCGGGGCCACCCCGCGAGGCTGTGAGCGAGGCTGTGAGCGGCAGGCGGCTGAGACTATAAGCTCTCACCTTCCTGTTGCCAGGAGACAGACACTCAGCTGTCAACAGAGCGGAGCACAGTCATTTCAGGGTGACATACTCCGGAGGAGGTCAGAGGGGTGGGGCAGGGTTTGGGGTTAGGGTTAGGGTGGGGCCTGGCAGGGTGAGCCGGCCCTTCTCGGAGGGTCCGGGGTCCTGGCTCCCTCCCTTCCCGGCAGCTCTCCCGTTAGCGCGGGGTGGGGCAGGGCGGGGTGGGGTGTGTCCCGGGTGGGATGGGTGGCCTGTGGGGCAGGTGGAGATGGAGGGGGTCCTTCCCCAGAGACCTGCCCCTCAGTGGGGCACTGCTGCTTGATTCCCCCGTTCTCCTGGAGGTTCCCCCCGTCCTCCTGGACAAAGCAGGGAGGCCCCTGGGTCCCCACCACAGCGTGGGTATCAGTGGGGGCATCCCTCACTGTGACCACTGGGCGCCGCTCCCGATGCCGCTGGCTCTTGACCTCAGGGCACTGGTTCGAGCGACAGATCCTGATGGAGGGCCTCTGGGCGGCCCGGCGGAGGGCTCGGCTCTGTCAGAGCGCACGAGGCCCGGAGCGGGCTGTGGGCACGGGCTGTGGGCGCGGGCTGTGGGCACCGGAACACAGCCAGAGCCTCTGGAGAAGGCCCTGGCGGCTGGCGGAGCCTGGCGCCCGCTGTGGGCCGCGCCCCGTGGGGAGCCTCCGGCCGCTCAGCCTCTCCTGTGCCCGGCGGGGCCGTGTGGCCGCCTGGAGACAGGTGCCACCGCCATGCTCAGGGCAGAGGGAAAAACGGGGCACGGGAAGGCGAAGGGACTCCGCTGCTAAGCAGTGGCAGGGCTGGTGGGCGAGCCGCTGGGGCAGACAGCCTGGCCGGGGTGGGCCTGGGTGCCAGTGAGCGTCCAGCGGTCAGGGCTGGGCAGGCCCCCAGGCGGCGGTTCGCCGTGGGCGTGGAGGCGAAAACAGGGCTAATGAGCCCCTGCCGGGCGCTCCCCGCGCTAATGAAGGCCTTGGCTCTGCTCTCGGCGTGCCCAGGCTGGGCAGGCGGTGGGGCAGGCGGTGGGCAGGCTCTGGCTTTGAACCTCAAGCGTCTTCTCTGCGGTCACAGCTGGGGGGGGGGTGTTTCGGGGGGGAAGGGAAGGTGCATGCGCCCAGAGCCTCCTCCCAGGGCAGCCACGCCAGGGAGAGGGCATCCCCCTAAAAAGGACAAGCTCCGGAAGGGAGAGTTTCCACAGCAACCCAGAGCAGTTGCTTAGCAACTACAGGACCCCAAAATACTTGCCTGCAGGAAGGCTCAGGGCATGGGGCTTTCCGACGGCGGCCGTGTGCGGACCTCGGCAACTCCTGGCTGATCCGCCCCCTCTCAGCCCCTCCTCCCCCGGCCCCTGCGTGCTTCCTGGGGAAACCCCCAGCCAGCTCCCCGCTCCCCATCGCCCCACTCTGAGCGAGCCACCTGGCACCAGGCCAGTCCCCTAGCAACAGAGGCTGTTTCCTGGATGCCTGAGTGACGGGTGACAGGATGGGGCCGGAGGTGGTCAGCTGCCAGAGGGAACTGAGATGCTAAAATCTGGAAGTGCTGTCCCCACCCCCCGCTGCTCCCTGAGTGGCTTGGGCTGGCAGGACCAGGCGGCTATCTGCTCACTGCCTGCCTGGTCGCCTTGCCCGCGCACTCAGGGATACCCAGGTGTGTGAGATGTTCCGGGAACGGCTGGCACCCGTCACCAGCAGGCCTGCTGCAGGGGGCAGGGGTGCCTGCCCCTCCGTGGAAGGCGGACGGCCCTGTGGCCGCCAGCCGTGGAGGGGGGCAGCCTGGACTGCTCCTGGGGAGCGGGGCGCGGGCCTGGGCCGAGTCCACGTTTTCCCAGGGGGAGCCGGGGCCCAGGGAAGCTGAGCACCCTGCCCAGGGCAGGTGAGCCCACTTGGACGCCCGCGCCCCGAGGCCAGGGTGCCTGGCCTGAGCCCCGCAGGCTGTGCCAGCACGGAAGTGGCCGGGGTGCCCTTTGACCCTCTGGTTGCCCAGGGTGAGATTCCAGGGTGAGGCAGTGGACCGAGCCTGAGGCCTGGGTGGCGGAGAGGGGTGGCTGCGGGCTCTCTGGACGGGCAGTGTCTGTGTCGGGCAGGGCAGGGCAGGGCAGGGCAGGGCTGAGCTGGCCCGGCCGCCTCCCTCCCGGCAGACGATCGAGGTGCCTCAGTTCAGGGGAGTTTCCTCCCCAGGCTCTCAGACCGGAAAATCCCGGCACAGAGCACGGCCGCCTCCCCCTCAGCCCTGGCAGGGGGCGGGCACGGGACGGGCCCCGAGGGAACAGAACCGGGACAGTGGGCATCGTGGCCCCGGGCTCCTGGGGGTGCAGCCCTGCGCGGGCACGGGGAGCGGGTGTGGGTGTCGGGAGCACCACCTTTCTCTGGTGGCTGGTGCACCTGTGGGCGACTGTGTGCCGTGCGCCTTAGCGTGCGCCACGTGTGTGTGCGCGTGCGGCCTAGTCCAAGGCTTGGAGGAAGGACCATAGCTGGCGGGAGGTGGGACAAAGGCAGTGTCTCTCACCGGGTCACTCAGCCCCAGGGCCCTGGGAACCTGGCATTGCCCCCGCCCGCCCCCGCTGGCCGTCCTCCGGAGGAGCTGTGGGAAAGAGGGCAGCGGGCGGCAGCCCGGCGCCTCCCGGCAGCCAGCTGGAGCCCCGGTCCGCTCCGAGGCCAGGCTGCTGGGGGCCCCTCTGAAAGGACCGCCTGGCTTCCCGGGCCCTGAGCCCCCACAGGCGGGTGGTGGCGCCGGGCACGCAGTGTCCCTGGCACGGCCGGCCGCCTCTTCACTACAAGGGCCCGTTTGTCCCAACTTCCCTGGCCCTGAAGCCCGAGGGACGGGCTCTGCTGGGCACAGGGTGGGCGGGCAGGCCCCCTCCCAGCCTCGGCAGGCCCTGCGTGCTCTCCGGAGGGGCCTCTTAGCCCGGCCCAAACCCCGAGGCGGCCTCTGCTCACTCGGGAGCAGAGACCCGTGCCCCAATCAGGGTGTGGGGCGCACACATGTAGGAAGGAGGACGATGCAGGTTGAACCAGAGCTGAGCTCTGCCTGCTGCCTCCCGCACTGGCACCCTGAGGCTGCTGGGTCCCCCCCCCCCCCCCCCCGCCCCAGCCCCAAAGCTGGCTGCCTCCTGCCCGGCTCCGGGCCTGGGCCTGCTTCCCCGGCCGCTCTGCCGTGCTCTCTGGAGGGCGCTTTCCTGGCAGAGGCCCGCTGGTCCTCCTCGCCCCCTCGGCTTCTCCCCTGCCCCGTCCCCTCCCCAGGAAGCTTTGCCGGTGGCCTGCCCACAGGGACGCTTCGGCCCTGGACTCTGCATATT